GCATGTCTCTGACCACACTATCCTTTCATATGCTTAGGACAAAGAAACAGATGAACTCTACTTCACCTGCCCTGTATCCTGCCAAGTTCAGATAGGCAACTTTATCATTCACATCTAAAAAAAAAAAAATTGAAAAAAAATATCATTGACATATTGGTCTAGAACCTGTGCCACCCGCATGAGAGCGGACTACGCTACCAACTTAGCTATTTACTCGTGACGTCAAAAATGAATTTTTATACTATACTTTTGAGTCTCCGCGCATAAATCTAGATCTAAGTCTAGTAGTAGTAACTTTCAAATTAAATTTTATCTTAAATTAGCCAAACAAAGATTTATATAAAATAATTAAGGCCTGAAATAGATTCTAGATGTATTAAGGCCTGAAATAGATTCTAGATGTAGAATTTACATTAAGTCTAGATCTAGAATTTACATTGAGTCTAGTGACCTAGATCTAGGCTAGATCTAGATCTAGATCTAGGCTAGATTCATTACTTTCCTTCGACAGCTGATCTTTAGATCTAGAGAAATTTATTGTAAAACTAAATGAAAAAAGACAGTTTAAAATTGATGTAAGTGTTGGAACGTAATAAATGCAGCAAACGGACGTATTGTTAAAGTTATGACCGACAGAAAATTAGATTTAGAACGCGTTAAACTTTTGAATGGGAACACAATTTTCTTCGATAGACGCCGCCATTTTATTGTACTAAAGAGTAAACAAAAACCTGTGACGTCACTATTCCCACAAAGTTTAGTCAATGTTTTAACATTTAAAAAAAAAATGGGTTACTCTACGTATGAATAAATCAATAAATTAATTAACGTCTTTAAATAAATTTGTGATTAACAGTCTGTCTGCATTAAAAAATTATTCTCTACCTACATACTATTTTACAGCTCTCCAGATAGAGTCGAACATATCACAATACTCGATCGGACAAACAAACAAACAAAAAAATAAATATTCAAACATGTAAACAAACTTGACTTTTAGTAGTATTAAGATGTTATCTAGTAAAAAATGTATTGTGTTTATAGTCTCAAGTTGTGTTGTTAGAAGTTTGTCTTATAATGTCGTATACAACCTTATAACATTAGATCTTATAATATCTTCTACAGCCGTAAATGATGGCATGACCTACTTGTGCTGATGACCTTGGTTGAGTACAGTACGGAAGTGTCCGGCTGGACGGCCTTGACACAGGTGTACGTCTTACAGTTGTAGTCTACCTGGCCGTCTACAGGTACACAGGCGTTGTTCAGTGGACAGCCTGTGGGAGGGAGTGGCAGGGTGACAGGGGGGGGAGGGATATGGAGATAAACGTATGTGACTTTGACTTGACGTAATGTAAGCGAGATTTGATGAAATACAATGAAGTAAAATATTTTTCTAATCATTTCAGGCCTTTTAAAAAGTACAACTTGAAGATGGGTATCTTTTTAATTAGTCTAAAACCAGGACAAGATCATTAACTATAATTAGCTGCGGTCCTTGTAAGTACTTTAGTTCATAAATAGCAGGCTACTTTTTTTTTGAGAATTTAAAGTTTACGAAAACCTTTGTCCTGCATTCTTTTTGAATAAATTTATTTGATTTTAAGAAAAATTTTTTTTTTAGTTTTTAATTCTAGCACTCTGCATAAGAAATTTTTTTTAGTTTTAAATTCTAGCACTCTGCATAAGAAATTTTTTTTTAGTTTTAAATTCTAGCACTCTGCATAAAATTTTTTTTTTAAAGTTTTAAATTCTAGCACTCTGCATAAAATTTTTTTTTTTAAAGTTTTAAATTCTAGCACTCTGCATAAAATTTTTTTTTAAAAGTTTTAAATTCTAGCACTCTGCATAAGGCGATAGCCTTGACCTCTGACCTTCTGATACAAATGACGTGCTGCCGTTGTCACATCGCTTTTGGATGCAGCTGTTGACAGTAATTAGGTCACCGGTCTGATAGGTCACTCCATTGTAGCTGCACGTGCCTGCAATTTTAAAAATATCTCATAATTGGAACGTTTGGTGCACCATACTTTTTTGGTGCACCATACTTTTAGGTGCACCATACTTTTTGGTGCACCATACTTTTTGGTCACCATACTTTTTGGTGAACCATACTTTTTGGTGCACAAACTCTTTTAAGTGCACACAACTTTTTGATGCATACAACTTTTTGGTGCACCATACTTTTTGGTGCACCATACTTTTTGGTGCACCATACTTTTTTGGTGCATCATACTTTTTTTGGTGCACCATACTTTTCTCATGAAACGAATGATTTATTTAATGAACGGTTAAACAGCTAAACTTGACGAGAGCTAGGGTGAGGGGGGGGGTGTAGGGGTGAACTTACTGCTGGACTGTTGTGACGTAGACGAGCAGCTGTAGGAGGTGGAGCCGTCTGCCGCTATGGTGCAGGTGCAGTTGCTGTAGCTCTTGCCGCCAATCACCAGAGGGAAGCTCTCGCCGGGGTTGTGACATGCGCCGTTGGCGTCTTTACATCCTGGAATTGTGGGAAGATTTGTGACCTATTTAGTAGGAAGTGACGTCTTTACATCCTGGAATTGTGGGAACTCGAATTTACTTTCAGAACAGTGCACATGACATTTGAGTTTAATTCTAGAACAGTGCACATGACATTTGAGTTTAATTCTAGAACAGCGCACATGTCATTTGAGTTTAATTCTAGAACAGTGCACATGACATTTGAGTTTAATTCTAGAACAGTGCACATGACACTTGAGTTTAATTCTAGAACAGTGCACATGACATTTGAGTTTAATTCTAGAACAGTGCACATGACATTTGAGTTTAATTCTAGAACAGTGCACATGTCATTTGAGTTTAATTCTAGAACAGTGCACATGACATTTGAGTTTAATTCTAGAACAGTGCACATGTCATTTGAGTTTAATTCTAGAACAGTGCACATGACATTTGAGTTTAATTCTAGAACAGTGCACATGTCATTTGAGTTTAATTCTAGAACAGTGCACATGACATTTGAGTTTAATTCTAGAACAGTGCACATGACACTTGAGTTTAATTCTAGAACAGTGCACATGACATTTGAGTTTAATTCTAGAACAGTGCACATGACATTTGAGTTTAATTCTAGAACAGTGCACATGTCATTTGAGTTTAATTCTAGAACAGTGCACATGACATTTGAGTTTAATTCTAGAACAGTGCACATGTCATTTGAGTTTAATTCTAGAACAGTGCACATGACATTTGAGTTTAATTCTAGAACAGTGCACATGTCATTTGAGTTTAATTCTAGAACAGTGCACATGACATTTGAGTTTAATTCTAGAACAGTGCACATGACATTTGAGTTTAATTCTAGAACAGTGCACATGACATTTGAGTTGTCTACTTTATGTGATCAGATGACTGAAGTAGAGTTGTTAATGAAGTCAGATGACTGAAGTAGAGTTGTCGATGAAGTCAGATGACTGAAGTAGAGTTGTTAATGAAGTCAGATGACTGAAGTAGAGTTGTTAATGAAGTCAGATGACTGAAGTAGAGTTGTTAATGAAGTCAGATGACTGAAGTAGAGTTGTTAATGAAGTCAGATGACTGAAGTAGAGTTGTCGATGAAGTCAGATGACTGAAGTAGAGTTGTTAATGAAGTCAGATGACTGAAGTAGAGTTGACTTACTCCGGCTGACGAACTTGAGCGAGTAGAGGATGGAGCCGTCTGCCTGAGCAGCTTTGGTGCATGTGTATGTCTGGCAGTCAGTCTCCGTGCTGCCGTCTACTGGCACACAACTTCCGCTGCTTAATTGGCAGCCTTAATTAGAGTTAAAACCATGTTAAATGTCACTTTTATTGGTGTATAACATCGTTAAAAGAAATTCCTAATTAATGTTAAAACACAGTTTTAAAACATACCTTAAAATCTCCTTAAAGACGTCTAAAATTAGAGTTAAGATAATAATTTTAAAAATAATGACTTAAAAACTTCTAATCCTAGCAGTCAGCCTTGATGACTTGATGACTTACAGTCAACACGAAATCTCAAATAGTCAATAACATCAAATCTTGCTTTCATCAACTTTCATCGTGACTGATGTTTTAGAGATTGTCAAGTCAAAAAGTTGACTTTACATGTATAATTAAGTCAATCAACATTATGTCCCCAAGTACCAAAAGATGGCTACCTTCAGTCAATGAGGTAGCGACGCCGTTGTCGCAGCGTCTCTTAATGCAGGCGTTGACGGTGATGGTGTCGCCGTTTTGGTACGTCACTCCGTTGTAGAGGCAGCTGGCTGTGGGGGACAGAGGCGGGGGGGGGGGGGGGGTTGGTTAAAACAGGACGATGTGAAACTCGAGGGTTAACCCAGAACATGTTAGTAGATGTGAGGGGTGGGATAGGTTTAACTTTGCCATTTTTAAAATGGATGAAACCAGAGTCAGGAGTCACAAATTGCTGACCCTTGAGTTTTTTTTTTTAGATGACGTCAAACCCGGCCATTTCTCACAAGTTGAGTCATGGCTTCATGCAGATACTAAGTTGGTCAATTTGTTGTCATCTAATTCTAGAATCCACGACATCGTTAATTTGTTGTCATCAAATTATAGAATCCATGACAACTGCTTGACATTGACACTAAAGTTTTGTCTTGGAGCTGTCAGCGTCAACATATCACCCTGCCCACCTACTCCACTCGCCCCACCCACCTACTCCACTCGCCCCACCCACCTACTCCACTCGCCCCACCCACCTGCTCCACCCGTCCCACCCACCTACTCCACTCGCCCCACCCACCTAGTCCACTCGCCCCGCCCACTCCCTCCACTCGCCCCGCCTACCCCCTCTACTCGCCCCGCCCACTCCCTCCACTCGCCCCGCCCACATACAATGTTCCTCGTATTCAGACCGCTGGGATTTATAGAACCTGATTAGCTAATTAATTAAAATAAAATGAAGCTTGATGAAGGTGCGGAACTTACAGCTAGAAGTTTGTGACGACTGTTGTGAGCTGGACGAGCAGCTGTAGGAAGCCGTACCGTCTGCTGCCACGGAGCAGGTGCAGTTGCTGTAGCTGGTGCCGGATATGACGAGAGCGAATCTCTCACCGGGGTTGTAACATGCGCCGTTGGCGTCTTTACATCCTGGAATTGTGGGAAAGATTTTTAACTTCCCGTCTGTCGTACTACTGATGCTGACACGAACAGTTCAAGCAATAAAATGTGACAGGTTTTCAGCGAATGGGAGAGTTTGTTTAGGGGTCGTGTTTGTTAGTGCCGTGTGTAAAGACGTGGTTGTGTGTCTATGGGGGGGGGGGGGGGGGAAGAGGGTCAGGTGGTACTTACGGGTACTGCTAGGGTTGACTGAGTACAAGACAGAGGTGTGTGTGTGGGGGGGGGGGGGTACTTACGGGTACTGCTAGGGTTGACTGAGTACAAGATGTCAGATGGTACTTACGGGTACTGCTAGGGTTGACTGAGTACAAGACAGAGCCGTCAGCCTGCACGGACTTGCTGCAGGTGTACGTCCTGCAATCCTTCTCGGCACTTCCGCCCACGGTGATACATCCGGTGTCAAACAGGCAGCCTGGGCAGGTGGTTTATACAGGTGGTTTATACAGGTGGTTTTATACAGGTGGTTTTATACAGGTGGTTTTATACAGGTGCTTTTATACAGGTGGTTTTATACAGGTGGTTTTATACAGGTGGTTTTATACAGGTGGTTTTATACAGGTGGTTTTATACAGGTGGTTTTATACAGGTGGTTTTATACAGGTGGTTTTATACAGGTGGTTTTATGCAGGTGGTTTATACAGGTGGTTTTATACAGGCGGTTTATACAGGTGGTTTTATACAGGTGGTTTATACAGGTGGTTTGTGCAGGTGGTTTTATACAGGTGGTTTGTACAGGTGGTTTTATACAGGTGGTTTTATACAGGTGGTTTTATACAAGTGGATTTATACAGGTGGTTTTATACAGGTGGTTTTATACAGGTGGTTTTATAAAGGTGGTTTTATACAGGTGGTTTTATACAGGTGGTTTTATACAGGTGGTTTTATACAGGTGGTTTTATGCAGGTGGTTTATACAGGTGGTTTATACAGGTGGTTTTATACAGGTGGTTTTTATACAAGTGGTTTGTACAGGTGGTTTTATACAGTTGGTTTGTACAGGTGGTTTTATACAGGTGGTTTTATACAGGTGGTTTTTATACAAGTGGTTTTATACAGGTGGTTTTATACAGGTGGTTTTATACATGTGGTTTATACAGGTGGTTTTATACAGGTGGTTTATACAGGTGATTTTAGGCAGGTGGTTTATACAGGTGGTTTTAGGCAGGTGGTTTTAGACAGATGCTTTTAGGCAGGTGGTTTATACAGGTGGTTTTATACAGGTGGTTTTATACAGGTGGTTTTATACAGGTGGTTTATACAGGTGGTTTTAGGCAGGTGGTTTTAGGCAGGTGCTTTTAGACAGGTGCTTTTAGGCAGGTGGTTTATACAGGTGGTTTTATACAGGTGGTTTTATTAACAGGTGGTTTTATACAGGTGGTTTTACACAGGTGGTTTTATACAGGTGGTTTATACAGATGGTTTTATACAGGTGGTTTTAGACAGGTGGTTTTATACAGGTGGTTTTATACAGATGGTTTTATACAGGTGGTTTTAGACAGGTGGTTTTAGACAGGTGGTTTATATAGGTGGTATTATACAGGTGGTTTTATACAGGTGGTTTTAGACAGGTGGTTCTATACAGGTGGTTTTATACAGGTGGTTTATACAGGTGGTTTTATACAGGTGGTTTATACAGGTGGTTTTAGACAGGTGGTTTTAGACAGGTGGTTTTATACAGGTGGTTTTATACAGATGGTTTTATACAGGTGGTTTTAGACAGGTGGTTTTATACAGGTGGTTTTAGACAGGTGGTTTTATACAGATGGTTTTATACAGGTGGTTTTAGACAGGTGGTTTTAGACAGGTGGTTTATACAGGTGGTTTTATACAGGTGGTTTTATACAGGTGGTTTATACAGGTGGTTTTATACAGGTGGTTTATACAGGTGGTTTTAGACAGGTGGTTTTAGACAGGTGGTTTATACAGGTGGTTTTATACACAGGTGGTTTTATACACAGGTGGTTTTATAAAGGTGGTTGATACAAGTGATTTAAACAGGTGGTTTATACAGGTGGTTTATCACATGTGATGTGACATAAGTGGTATAACACAAGTCACGTGATTTTTTTACATTGAACTTGTCTCACGTTGGATGAGGCAGATTACAAAAAAAAAGTCACGTGACTACTGTCTATAAATAGACCTGGGCCCACAGAAAACAAAACGACCTTCACCTTCCTGTATTGTCGTGGCGGTGCCGTTGTCGCATCGTCGCTTGTTGCAGCTGTTGATGGTGATGATGTCGCCGTTTTGGTAGGTGGCGCCGTTGTACAGACAGGAGCCTAAAACACGTGACACGGCAGGTAAGTAAGTCCAGCCACGTGCGTGAGTGACACAACAGGTAAGTAATTGGATGCACGTGAAAGACGGTCAGTTTGTAGAGAGAAAGTTTGGACACATGGACATTTGTTTTGCAATTACGCACACTTGGTTTTAGTTGTTTTACATTTTCGCGTTAGAATTATCTCAACACAGCTAGTTATATTATAGCGTTAGTTATATTTATATTTTAAATTTTTATAGAGAGCGGCAGTAAGCCCATGTGACGTCAACGCCCTATGACTCACTTGACGTCTGCTGTGACGTAGACGAGCAGCTGTAGGAGGTGGAGCCGTCTGCTGCTATGGTGCAGGTGCAGTTGCTGTAGCTCTTGCCGCCAATCACCAGAGGGAAGCTCTCGCCGGGGTTGTGACATGCGCCGTTGGCGTCTTTACATCCTGGAATTGTGGGAAGATTTGTGATGTATTTAGTAGGAAGTGACGTCATTAACAGATACAATGGTAATGAAATATTGTACTAGACGTAACAAGACAATTTTATAATCGCCCAATTGCTATTTGCGGCCTTTATTGCGTAGTAAATTAACATAATGCTGATTAATAAAACACGCAATGAATGAAAAGAACAAGATGCCACACAGGTAACTGGTCAAGGAGTTTCTCAGGTGAAATATAGAGATGAGCTGACCACTGGCTACCTACTTAAGCTGTCCACTAGCTACCTACTTGAACTCACCACTGGCTACCTACTTGACCACTGGCTACCTACTTAAGCTCACCACTGGCTACCTACTTAAGATGACCACTGGTTACCTACTTAAGATGACCACTGGCTACCTACTTAAGCTCACCACTGGCTACCTACTTAAGATGACCACTGGTTACCTACTTAAGATGACCACTGGCTACCTACTTGACCACTGGCTACCTACTTGAGTTGACCACTGGCTACCTACTTAAGATGACCACTGGTTACCTACTTAAGATGACCACTGGTTACCTACTTAATCTGACCACTGGCTACCTACTTGACCACTGGCTACCTACTTGAGTTGACCACTGGCTACCTACTTAAGCTCACCACTGGCTACCTACTTAAGCTGATCACTGGCTACCTACTTGAGATGACAAAGGGCTACCTACTTCAGCTGACCACTGGCTACCTACTTGGAAGTCCACTGGTTACCTACTTGAGCTGCCCACTGGCTACCTACTTGACAACTGGCTACCTACTTAAGCTGACCACTGGCTACCTACTTGAGCTGACGACCTTGACCGCGTAGATCGTGGTGCCATCTGCCTGCGGTGTCTTGCTGCACCTGTAGCTCGTGCAGGAGACCTCGGTCGTGGTGTCCACCGCCAGACAGGCGCCGTTAAAGGAGCAGCCTGTCAGAAGGTCATCAAAAGGTCAGCAAAAGGTCATCAAAAGGTCAACATAAGGTCATCAAAAGGGCATAAAAAGGTCAACATAAGGTCATCAAAAGGTCAACATAAGGTCATCAAAAGGTCATCAGAAGGTCTCATTCTCCAACAAAACTTGACCCCCAACAAAACTTGCCCCCCCCAACAAAACTTGCCCCCCAACAAAACTTGACCCCAACAAAAACTTGCCCCCCAACAAAACTTGACCCCAACAAAAGTTGACCCCCAACAAAACTTGACCTCCAACAAAACTTGACCCCCAACAAAACTTGACCCCCAACAAAACTTGACCCCCAACAAAACTTGACCCCCAACAAAAGTTGACCCCCAACAAAACTTGACCCCCAACAAAAGTTGACCCCCAACAAAACTTGACCCCCAACAAAACTTGACCCCCAACAAAACTTGACCCCCAACAAAACTTGACCCCCAACAAAACTTGACCCCCAACAAAAGTTGACCCCACAAGAATGAGACCCTTACCATCCTGGGATGTGGTGATGACGCCGTTCTGGCAGAGTTTCTGTATGCAGGTGGTGATGACGATTGTCTGACCACTCTGGTAGGTGACGCCATTGTAGGAGCAGCTCCCTGTCAGAGGGTGGGGGGGGGGGGGGGTGAGTTAATCAGACTGGTAACTAATTAAACTGACGTCACTAGCTTACGACGTTTCTTCAGGCCAAAGCAGGCCAAAAGTTGCAAAGTTGCAAGCTGGCCAAAATTTGTTAGCAGGCCAAATATTGCAAGCTGGCCAAAAGTTGCAAGCTGGCCAAAAGTTGCAAGCTGGCCAAAAGTTGTAGCAAGCTGACCAAAAGTTGTAAGCTGGCCAAAAGTTGCAAAGTTGCAAGCTGGCAAAAATTTGCAAGCAGGCCAAAATTTGCAAACAGGCCAAAATTTGCAAGCAGGCCAAAAGTTGCAGGCAGGCCAAAAGTTGCAAGCAGGCCAAAAGTTGCAAGCAGGCCAAAAGTTGCAAGCAAGCCAAAAAATGCAAGCAGGCCAAAAGTTGCAAGCAGGCCAAAAGTTGCAAGCAGGCCAAAAGTTGCAGGCAGGCCAAAAGTTGCAAGCAGGCCAAAAGTTGCAAGCAGGCCAAAAGTTGCAAGCAGGCCAAAAGTTGCAAGCTGGCCAAAAGTTGCAAGCTGGCCAAAAGTTGTAGCAAGCTGACCAAAAGTTGTAAGCTGGCCAAAAGTTGCAAAGTTGCAAGCTGGCAAAAATTTGCAAGCAGGCAAAAATTTGCAAGCAGGCCAAAATTTGCAAACAGGCCAAAATTTGCAAGCAGGCCAAAAGTTGCAGGCAGGCCAAAAGTTGCAAGCAGGCCAAAAGTTGCAAGCAGGCCAAAAGTTGCAAGCAAGCCAAAAAATGCAAGCAGGCCAAAAGTTGCAAGCAGGCCAAAAGTTGCAAGCAGGCCAAAAGTTGCAGGCAGGCCAAAAGTTGCAAGCAGGCCAAAAGTTGCAAGCAGGCCAAAAGTTGCAAGCAGGCCAAAAGTTGCAAGCAGGCCAAAAGTTGCAGGCAGGCCAAAAGTTGTTGATGTGTTTGTCAAGGTGAGACATGAGACAAATCCTTGACAGATTGAAGTCAAAAAATCTCAAACACCTGGTGTATGGGTGAAAATCTTTAAACCGGTTAAAAAATTTGCATAAATTAATCTCCGTCTAGGAAAATGTTTTCTAACTGCTGGCTGTGTCGATTTGTTGGTAGCAGATGGTGGCTGTTTCACTTACAGCAGGGATTACCGTCCTTGAGTACATTTTACTTACCTCCCTTGTTTAATTAATTCTATTTCCTCCACATCACGTTATAGTCACAGTAACACACACACACACAACTACGCACCCCCCACACACACACGAACCCACGCACCCCCCCCCCCCACACACACCCCCACACACATACTCACACAAACACACACACACACACTCTCTCTCTCTCTCTCTCTCTCTCTCTCTCTCTCTCTCTCTCTCTCTCTCTCTCTAGCTAGAAATTCTAGTTTAACCCGGGCTCAAGTCAATAGAACGTCCCTGAGTCCACCCAGCTCTTTTGGGTACCTAACTGTTAGGGAACGTAAAAGCGGCTAGGCATAGTGCTGACCACACTATTCGTTCATATGCCGCGGTCAAAATGACCCCCCCAAACGAATGACTAATGGACTCTACACCCCACCCTCCCAAAAACTGACCAGTGGACTACCCCCCCCTATAACTGACCAGTGGACTCCCCCCCCCCCCCAAGAACTGACCAGTGGACGACATCCCCCCCCCCAAACGAATGACCAATAGACTCTACACCCCACCCCCAAAAACTGACCAGTGGACGACACCCCCTCCCCAACAACTGACCAGTCGACTGCTGTGTTGATGTACTAGAACAGGTGTACGATGCCGTCCCATCTGACGTCACGCTGCACGTGCAGGACGGGTAGGTCGTGCCGTTGTTGACCAGGGTGAACCTCTCCCCGGGGGTGAAGCAGACGCCGTTTGAGTCCCTGCATTCTGTGACGTCACGGAAACAATTGTTAGCATTGCGTCATGGGGGGGGGGGGCGTGATGTCGTTGTTGAGGGAGGGAGGGGGGCAGTGATGTTGTTGTTGAGTGAGGGAGGGGGGGGGGGCAGTGATGTTGTTGTTGAGTGAGGGAGGGGGGCAGTGATGTGGAAAATGTGTAATAAGGTTCAGTAATGACGAGAGATGAGAGGGTTCATGATCGTGACGATGGGGGCCAAGAGGGGCGTGATAGTTAGGGGGTCGAGAAAAGAACATCTTACTGGTATTGAGCAGCTGGACAGCATACGTCACGATGCCGTCACTTCCGGTTGTCTTGACGCACGTGTAAGTCCTGCACGTGCTTGAAGTGTAGTTGGCGCTCACGGCGATACACACACCGTCACGTGAGCAGCCTGCGGAGGATCGACCTTGACATTAGGACCCACGAGAACATGATATCAGCCCCACCCCCGATATTACATACCATCCTCTACAATGCTGCTGACGCCACTGTCACACCCCCCCCTACTTACCCTCCTCCACAATGCTGATGACGCCACTGTCACCCCCCCCCCCCCATTGCTTACCCTCCTCCACAATGCTGATGACGCCACTGTCACACCCCCCCCCATTGCTTACCCTCCTCCACAATGCTGATGACGCCACTGTCACACCCCCCCCCCCCTACTTACCCTCCTCCACAATGCTGATGACGCCACTTTCACCTCCCCCACAATGCTGATGACGCCACTGTCACCCCCCCCCACTTACCCTCCTCCACAATGCTGATGACGCCATTGTCACATCGCTTCTTGACGCAGCCCGACGAGTTGGGGCAGATGAAGATCTCGCCGTTCTGGTAGGTCACCCCGCCCTCGACACAGGAACCTGGACAGTCACAGACAGGAAGTTAGGGGTGGTAGACCGGAAGTTAGGGGTGGTAGACCGGAAGTTAGGTAGACCGGAAGTTTGGTAGACCGGAAGTTAGAGGTGGTAGACCGGAAGTTAGAGGTGGTAGACCAGAAGTTAGAGGTGGTAGATCGGTAGTTAGGGCAGACAGAGCGGAAAGTATGGGTGACCAGGAATTCGAGATAAAAAACCAAAGCAAAATGCATACGCACCATCCAGTGGAGCAGAGAATCCACCCGTCCACCAAGTGGCAAGCAGGAACAATATGGCGGTCTTGTATGGTGGCTGGAACAAGAAGGTCTCGTCAGTTACACGTACGTTAACGTACACACACGTACGTTAACGTACGCACACATAAGCCAAAACTTTTACCTCAGACGTACACACACGTACACACACGTACACTAACACGCTTCCTTTACAGGTGTGTTTTACACATACACACACGCCTATATAAACAGAGGTAAACTTATTCCTATCGAATAAATTTCCTTTGATTATTTGTATCACCAGACGTGTATTCAAGCGACGCGAGCGACAGCAGACGATTTTCTAGTGAGCGTCGTCTGCTCATGGCTAAATGGCGGGAAACGGAAAAACCTGGTACAGCATCAAAGATTTTGTTTTGGCACGGTCGCTATTTTGTAACGTTGAGTTACAAACGCTTTTTAAAACCCATTTTAGACTACTGATTTATTTGACAATTAAATTTGGTTTAATTAAGTCAGGATTTAAGTCTTTTAAATCACTAAAAAAGTTTTAAAATCTTTTGCCACTATAAGCTAATAGTTTAAAGTTAAAAATTAACATTTGTCTTAAAATTGCGGTACATTTTACAATTAATTAAGGCTTTAATTAAAACTTTCCATGTGCGTCTTTAAAGCAAACAGGTTTATTTGTAGGTAAAAGTCAGTCACTGCGCAGTTCATTAACTGATATTTGAAAGTTAATTAACTCCCAGAAAATAATTAAAATAATTGAGTTTATTAGCGCAAATATGCGTTCATTAATTAAATGTTAGGTCACTTGTTCAATAAAATATGAACTATATAAATCAAATGAACATAAAAAAATAGAAAAAAAAAGAAATACCATTTCGTTTGCTGTTGATACAAATTGGCAAATAAACTCGCTCTAGGGTTGGCCAGATTTTTATAGCCCCACGCGCTGCATGTCAAACAGCTCGCGGTCTGCGCGCCGACGTGTGACATGCGCAGTGCGTGTCGCAGAATCATGCGATAATCCATCAATACAAGCGGATGCCTATTTTTGTGGAAGGGGGGGGAGAGTAGGTCTTATGGGTCTGTTTAAAACAATTAACTTACTCCATGTTAACGACATCCACCTCCCACCCACCTTGTGACATCCATACACCCCCACCCCCTAAAGAAAAAGAACACAATAATATACTGTAACCAGATGCAGATTTAACCCGAGTGGGGCCCCTGAAATTGAGAAGTTTTCAAAAATTGAATTATAATACTTATAATATAACACAAACCAGAATTTGATTTCCATTCTTCCGAAGTGCGCTGAAATAAAATAAAACTGCTGTAACCAAATGATAACGATCAAATCTTACTTTTGAAGTGTCGCTTGCTGGTAAGCAGAGGCGTAGTGATGGGAGGGGGGAGGGGGGCAGGGGGGTACATATGTCCCCGGGCGCCGACCTTAGGGCGCGCCAAAATGGGTTGTAAAAACAACTTAAAATGTCATTTTAGCTGCATTTTTGCATTATAAATAGTTTGAGGGGGGTGATGCAAATCGAAAGTTTGAGGCGGAGGGGGGGGGGGGTGCAAATTGGAAATTAGCTCCCGAGGGGGCGCCAAATTGAAAGTTTGTCCCCGGGCGCCGGGAAGGGTCGCTACGCCTCTGCTGGTAAGTTATTTATAGAACAGCAACGTTCAGCTATAAATATTACTTATGCTCATAAGATTACTTTATTGCAAACCAGTCGAGAATCAACAGGCCAAACATGAAGCACTTTTAGCTCAAGTCCGACTTAAAATTTTGCGTCAGCCCGCAGCAACGTGCGGGACTGATACGCTTATACATACACATACACACCCAAACATATATATATATATATATATATATATATATATATATATATATATATATATATATATATATATATATATATATATATATATATATATAAGCAAAAAAGGGCATTGTGTTTGTTAGATTAGTTTGTTTGTTACACCTACTAGATTGTGTACTTGCAGGTAAGTTACAGGGAAATTATTCTTGGAAGTTAGCTGTTTAATCTCTTTTTAACTAGAGTCTTCTCAATAATCGAGTCTACATTAATATCGTTTAAATTAGAGTCGCCTCAATCAGAGTTTCTTCCAGGCATCTCTTTTGGGGGGGGGGTGCACCCCCCCCCCCCCCCCACAGAAGAAAGTCTATCCCCCCCCCGGAACGAAATGGAATTTATATAGAAAATATATACTTTTGACAGTGTTCGCCCCCCCCCCCTCCCGAAAATTTCAAGTGCACCCCCGGAGAAAAAAGTCTGGAAGAAACACTGGCCTCAATAATCGAGTCTACATTAAAGTATTCGCCCTTAATATCGTGAAAATTAGAGTAATCTCAATAATCGAGTCTACATTAAAGTAGTCGCCTTTAGTATCGTGTAAATGTTCCGATATCAAGTAAAGTGACAAATCTTATTTGACCTCCCCCTTATAGTTCAATTATAAACAAACTTTAGAGTGACGTTAGATAAACAGCATATGTTACCTACGGGGCATTGTATGATCTTTTAATCAGGATTAACGTGTTTTTTCTTCGGTTTAATTTGTTTCGGTTTAATTTTTGTGTGAAAATTAATTTGTTTAGAAAGGGGATTATTTAGGTAGTTATTTGACAAGTTTCAACTTTACGCGGCCTCTAGCTGTTTTAATCAACCCGAATTGCTGGACAGCTTTGTTGCCACGTACACATCAATCAATAAGCAAGGAAGTACGCATGTCTTCAAATGTAAGTGTAATCATAATTTTTTTTTCAGAAAGCGTTTTGTAGTTGTAATCAAATTTAGCCCACACGTTTTAGTACCACCGCTAGCTAACCTGACTTTAAATAAAGCAGGAGTGATGGCCCCCTAAACTTGCTCGTATATTCTTCATATCACCAAGGGAGATAACATGTCTAGTGCGATCGGGATATCGAAATGTTTTTTTTTTTTTTAAATATTTTTAAAAACTCAAAAAAGAAGTGTGCGCCAAATGAACGCATGCAATTAGGGGTCGGCGTGGTCGAGTCGGTAAAGCTCATGGTTGCTAAAACCGAAAAGTCTCGAGATTGAGGCTCGTTAGCTGGGGACAGCCACTCTTCTATGAGAGACAACTCCAAAATCAAACAGTTTGTTCATGGTTGGACAAATCCAAGTCTACTCATCTTCCAGCCCTACCAAGCCATCCAACCCACCAACCCTATCAAGCCCCCCCCCCAACCCTACCAAGCCATCCAACCTACCAACCCTACCAAGCCCCCCCCCCCCCCCACCAACCTTCCAAGTACACCAACCCATCAACCCTACCAAGCCCACCAAGCTTACCAACCCTACCAACCTACAAACTTGAAACCCCACTTTCACATGTCAACTTTGATAGCAGCTATTTTGTAAGGCGTGCTTTACAGAATTGTAAATGTCACACGCTTGTACAAGGTCTGATAACATTCGGGATCAAAATAAAAATACAACGCTAGTTTTTTTTCTTTACTAAACCTTTTGTTTACACCGCCATAGCCCTAAATAATTTTTTAGGGCAATTTCTATTCTGGAGAATTGCGTTTATTAACCCGTCATTTCTGGATGTATGAATGTATGAATGAATGGATGGATGGATGGATGGATGTATGTGTGTCCGCAGCTTTAAGTCGTATCTCCTCCTCAACGAAGCAATATTGATGACTAGTTCCAAAAGCAATTACGTTAAGCAAGTTACGAGTATGAACATAGGCCATAAAAATTCCGGGTTTCTTTCATGGATTTCCCGGAAAAGCCAAAAAAACCTCCAAAAAAAAGCAGTTTTTGGCCCATATCTCGGCAGCCAGACCACCTAGCGACTTGAAACATGTACCAATCGATTCCTGCCATTATTTAGAACAATATTGCCGAAGAAAGTTTTCAAAAATATCCTTTCGTTCGGTCACAAATTTTTTTTTGAGTTAATCAAAATTTGGACCGAATTAGTAGGCATTTTATGCAACCACACCACACGCGTCATCACGTTCAATAGCTGCGCCATCACGTTCAATGGCTGCGACGTCACGTTCGGTAGCTGGGCGCGCAATGGTTTTTAGTCATGTTACTCTATTGTAAATAAATCATGTAAAATACTGAATTTTTTTAAAATAAAAAACGTTTTAATAACTAACCAATGGTTTTACTAACCCTGCTCTTGATTTACGCTACGACAGAGCTATCTTTAGATAACACAAGGAAATTGCGCTAAAATTGTCACTAGACTTTTTTAAATTACTTGTTTTCTTTACTAAACCTTTTGTTTACACCGCCATAGCCCTAAATATTTTTTTCTTACGATCTTGTTCACTTGCTCACACGCCAGCTAATCCAGACATGTTCGTAAATCAGTGTTTCTCTCAGGCATCTCTTTGGTGCCCCCCCCCCCCTCTCCACCCCCCTCCCCCGAACGTAATTTAATTTATATATAAAATATATCTTTCGAAGTGTCTCCTCGGAATAAGATTTTTCGGCAAAAGATAGTTCTGCGCATGCGCAGTGACCTATGGCTAGGGTTAGGGCTAGAATGATAGGATTAGGGCTAGGGTTAGGATTAGGGATAGGGTTAGGTTATCTTTTTATCCATGTCGTCCCCCCCGTCCCCCCCCCCCCCCCCCCCGAAAGGTTTCAAGTGCCCTCCCCCCTCTGCACCCGGATGAAAAAGTCTTAAAGAAACACTGTACTGAAATTATCAACCTTACGTTTTTCAAAAATTTATATTTGACTACTTCGCTCTTAATACACACATTCTTTCATTTTCGTACGTTAGTTACACCATTACCTTTGACCCGAAGGTTAGGTCACAATGGATGCTAAAAATAAAGTTAAAAATATTGGTAAAGCATTTTAGACAGATTACCCCACCATTGAAAACCTGGTATCGTTTTTAATTTAAATTAAGTAGATCTAGTAAGTACTAAGTAGATCTAAATCTAGATCTAGATTTAGATCTAGATCTAGAATCTAGATCTAGATACTACTGATACTTAGGACCTAAATAGAAAATTTAATATAAAATTTAGGCCCTAGTGGCTATCATCTAGACTAGATCTAGATTTCTAGATCTAGATTAGAATTAGATCTAGATTGGTAATCTATCGTTTTAGTTAGATCTACCTAGATTTAGTTTTAGTAAGTTAGTTAGGTACGTAAAATCGGCCGAGGCTGGTAATGTGCGAGAAAGGTGGCTCATGGCTTTAATACAAGTATATAGATCTAGATATCTAGATCTAGGCCTATAGGGCGATAGGCCCTATTAATATTATTATATTTTTGTGTCGAATATAATAGGATTGCACAATAAACCAAAAGCAATGGGAGAATGTTTACACCGGTGTCTGATAATGGAATCTTCTTTAAAAAAGGGGTGTTAAGTTACTGGTAGTTAACTAAATACACACATGGCTGGCTAATGTCAATGCTAACCCTGTCCCTAACCCCAACCCTGGTCCAACCACACGCCAAACCCTAATTTCTAACCATAAAATTAGTCGGGATTACAATACTACTAACAACCCAACACCCCTATTTTAAAGATGATTCCATTATCGGACACTGGTATCTATAATCATCCCAGCTGTGTTTGCTAGAAAGATTTGCCATATAATTATATTAATACAGCTGCCATCTGTAAATTAGAGTGGTTTCCCCTGAATCTCTACCTAAAGTGTTCCCAAAAACTTAAGGGGGTAGGCTCCAGTAAAAAAAAACACTTTTTAGCGCAATTTCCATACGGACAATTGCGATTATTAACTCGTCATTTTGGTGATGGATGTGTGTCCGCAGCTTTAAGTCGTATCTCCTCAACGAAGCAATATCGAGGACTAGTTCCAAAAGCAAATATGTTAAGCAAGTTCCGAGGATGATTGTGGGCCAAAAAAATTCCCGGGATTCCTTCCTGGATTTCCCGGAAAAGCCAAAAAACCTCCAAAAAATGCAGTTTTTGGCCCATATCTCGGCAACCAGACCACTTAGCGACCTTGAAACATTTACCAATCGATTCCTGCCATAATTTAGAAAAATATTGCCGAAGAAAGTTTTCAAAAATATCCTTTCGTTCGGTCACAAAAAATTAATTAAGGAAATTGCGCTTAAATTGTCACTAGACTTTTTATTAACTTTTTTAATACTTGTTAGAAAACAGTTATTTCTTTACAGCTTTAAAAAATTTCTTGATCTAGTTTACATATTTTTTAAAAATACTAAAAATTCGTAACATTGTTGCTACTATGATCACCCGCTCACGTTTACTTGTCAGCAGGAGAAAAATCCTGTCTTCTCAGTCAACAGCTCACTGTGAGTTCACAAAGAGAATATTATTTTAGACTATATTTTTTTAGACTATTCTTGTCAGTGCGAGAAAAAACAGCTGTTTTAGGGATCACAGCCAGTGTATTTAAAAACCTATAACATGGGTCATAGCCTGAACAATAGCAATATGACAAAAGTGCTTGGAGTCATTGTGAGTTCATATAATGTGAGTTCATATAATCTTGTCACAGAGAGAAATATTCAGCCACATTGTTAATGTAAGGCCAATACGTCCCGATCTTTAACACTTTGTATTGTTGTACCTGTAGAAAGCATAGAAGTATAAATAAACTATTTAAAAAGTGTAATTTATTTTTATTAAGTAATTTTAATCATAAACATTTTTTGAAATTAACAAAATCGATATTTATACAATGTAAACATAATTTTTTTTTTGCAACAATATAACATGTTTGCGTTGGTAGGGGCTTCAAGCACTGTCATGTTCAAAGGTGATATAGTGGGTGGCTTCGGTGTTCCACACAAAAGAAAGAAGTTATAAATCATCAGCACGTCTGGCGATGGTAAAAACGGCCAAACCACTTTGTAGTCTGCATCAAAGTTCATAGTAAATCAGGTGTGGTTCAATTTTTGCAGACATTTTACCCCCACCCAGCATAAGTATCGGGTGAGGGTAAAATGTGAGACCAAAATGTCACGTCACCAGTGGTTTTAGCACCCTTCTTGCAATTTACCACCTCACCATTTCACATACAGCAAGTTTATTGTTTTAGTGGAGCTAGGCTACACCTTACAGCATATGAAGTTCATTGTTTTAGTGGAACTAGGCTACACCATACAACATATGAAGTTCATTGTTTGACTGATATGTTATCAGGTTGATGCTCAATGCAAATTGTGCTTCTCTCATTTTGAAGTTTAGTTGTTCACCAACTGTAATCAAGTTGCCACAGGATCAGATGAAAGTGAAAATTGTAGGTAAAAAGTGAGCACTTAACAGATGTCATAAGTTGCCATAGGATCAGATGAAACTCAAATAAATCAAGAGAGATTAACTCGATTGATTTCTTTCACTGTGTTGTGTGGCCAGTACTTAAGTAAACATCCTGGGATTAACCGTTGGTTAAAATGTTTTGATTTGTCTGCCAGATTATTGATGCACTGAATGGCGCTGTAGGGTGGTGGGATGGCAACAGCTGTGGTCATTGGAGGAGGAGTCAGTGGGCTCGCATCCACACTGTACATCCAGAGATATTTACCTCAATTTGCCAAGGTAGGCTGCACCGTATGACGTATAGTCCATTGTTTCAGTGGTACTAGGCTGCACCGTATGACATATAGTCCATTGTTTCAGTGGTACTAGGCTACTCCCTACAACATATGAAGTCCATTGTTTCAGTGGTACATAATCTGATCAAGTAATTATTTCTAATCAAGCTTTAATGTAGATATTTTTAGGGTGTGGTGTACATTCAACATCAACATTAAGTATAGACTGATTTACGGCGTGGGGTTAAATTAACAAACTTTAGTAAAGATAGTTTTAGGGTGTTGGATAAATACTTTATTTTGTTTTTCCCGTGAGGTAGTTAAGACTGCCTTTTTTATTTCCTGTGAGGTAGTTAAGTCTGTATTTTGTAGTTTCCTGTGAGATAGTTAGGTCTGTATTTTGTGTTTCCTGTGAGATAGTTAAGTCTGTATTTTGTGTTTCCTGTGAGATAGTTAAGTCTGTATTTTGTTGTTTCCTGTGAGGTAGTTAAGTCTGTATTTTGTTGTTTCCTGTGAGGTAGTTAAGTCTGTATTTTGTATTTCCTGTGAGGTAGTTAAGTCTGTATTTTGTAGTTTCTTGTGAGGTAGTTAAGTCTGTATTTTGTAGTTTCTTGTGAGGTAGTTAAGTCAGTATTTTGTAGTTTCTTGTGAGGTAGTTAAGTCTGTATTTTGTATTTCCTGTGAGATAGTTAAGTCTGTATTTTGTATTTCCTGTGAGATAGTTAAGTCTGTATTTTGTAGTTTCTTGTGAGGTAGTTAAGTCTGTATTTTGTAGTTTCCTGTGAGATAGTTAAGTCTGTATTTTGTAGTTTCCTGTGAGGTAGTTAAGTCTGTATTTTGTTGTTTCCTGTGAGGTAGTTAAGTCTGTATTTTGTATTTCCTGTGAGGTAGTTAAGTCTGTATTTTGTTGTTTCCTGTGAGGTAGTTAAGTCTGTATTTTGTATTTCCTGTGAGATAGTTAAGTCTGTATTTTGTGTTTCCTGTGAGGTAGTTAAGTCTGTATTTTGTTGTTTCCTGTGAGGTAGTTAAGTCTGTATTTTGTATTTCCTGTGAGGTAGTTAAGTCTGTATTTTGTAGTTTCTTGTGAGGTAGTTAAGTCTGTATTTTGTAGTTTCTTGTGAGGTAGTTAAGTCAGTATTTTGTAGTTTCTTGTGAGGTAGTTAAGTCTGTATTTTGTATTTCCTGTGAGATAGTTAAGTCTGTATTTTGTATTTCCTGTGAGATAGTTAAGTCTGTATTTTGTAGTTTCTTGTGAGGTAGTTAAGTCTGTATTTTGTAGTTTCCTGTGAGATAGTTAAGTCTGTATTTTGTAGTTTCCTGTGAGGTAGTTAAGTCTGTATTTTGTTGTTTCCTGTGAGGTAGTTAAGTCTGTATTTTGTTGGTTCCTGTGAGATAGTTAAGTCTGTATTTTGTATTTCCTGTGAGATAGACATATTATTTTTCTTGAATCGTAACAGCTGGCTTGGTTGACTTGAGTTTAAAATGAAGTCATGGCTCAGGTTTAGATCTATACTGTTTGTATGAATATGATCCAAAGTGGTTAAAGAATTTTGAACTTATGAATAAATTGAAATAGTTTTGTATTTTGCTTTTGTTCCTCTCTCAAGTCCTGAAATTCTCTTGACATTTTGTGAGATGGGAAACCCATAAGTTGGTCGACACAAAAGATTTTTGACAGCTTAATCTTTTGTGTGTTACCTTGGGGAGGGGATGTTTGGTTCAGAGTCTGCTGATCTGTTTTTGAAATTCTTGTGGTGAAATTTGCTGACAGAAATAAAAATTGTAGGCTCTTGTTGGTTTGAGTACTCTTGCTTTTATTGTAGGTGTTTTTTTGTAAGTGTTGGGTTTTTAAAATAAAACATTCTTTTATATTGTTATGATTTAATGTTGTTGTAGAATTTGGTTTGTGTATTGTGATTTTAGATGACTTAAATAAAATAATGCGTGAGGAAGTGGGTTGGTGGTTGGGTTTGAGTGGTTGGGTGTTAGCGGGTTGGTGAGTGGGTGGTTGGTTGGGAGTGAGCAGGTTGGTGGGTGGTTGGGTGGGTGGTTGGGTGTGAGCAGGTTGGTGGGTGGTTGGGTGTGAGCAGGTTGGTGGGTGGTTGGGTGAGTGGTTGGGTGTGAGCAGGTTGGTGGTTGGGTGGTTGGGTGTGAGCAGGTTGGTGGGTGGGTGGTTGGGTGTGAGCAGGTTGGTGGGTGGTTGGGTGTGAGCAGGTTGGTGGGTGGTTGGGTGGGTGGTTGGGTGTGAGCAGGTTGGTGGGTGGGTGGTTGGGTGTGAGCAGGTTGGTGGGTGGGTGGTTGGGTGTGAGCAGGTTGGTGGGTGGTTAGGTGTGAGCAGGTTGGTGGGTGGGTGGTTGGTTGGGAGTGAGCAGGTTGGTGGGTGGTTGGGTGTGAGCAGGTTGGTGGGTGGGTGGTTGGGTGTGAGCAGGTTGGTGGGTGGGTGGGTGTGAGCAGGTTGGTGGGTGGTTGGGTGAGTGGTTGGGTGTGAGCAGGTTGGTGGGTGGTTGGGTGTGAGCAGGTTGGTGGGTGGTTGGGTGTGAGCAGGTTGGTGGGTGGGTGGTTGGGTGTGAGCAGGTTGGTGGGTGGGTGGGTGGTTGGGTATGAGCAGGTTGGTGGGTGGGTGGTTGGGTGTGAGCAGGTTGGTGGGTGGGTGGTTGGGTGTGAGCAGGTTGGTGGGTGGTTGGGTGTGAGCAGGTTGGTGGGTGGGTGGTTGGGTGTGAGCAGGTTGGTGGGTGGGTGGTTGGGTGTGAGCAGGTTGGTGGGTGGGTGGTTGGGTGTGAGCAGGTTGGTGGGTGGTTGGGTGTGAGCAGGTTGGTGGGTGGTTGGGAGTGAGCAGGTTGGTGGGTGGTTGGGTGTGAGCAGGTTGGTGGGTGGTTGGGTGTGAGCAGGTTGGTGAGTGGGTGGTTGGTTGGGAGTGAGCAGGTTGGTGGGTGGTTGGGTGTGAGCAGGTTGGTGGGTGGTTGGGTGTGAGCAGGTTGGTGGGTGGTTGGGTGTGAGCAGGTTGGTGGGTGGGTGGTTGGGTGTGAGCAGGTTGGTGGGTGGGTGGTTGGGTGTGAGCAGGTTGGTGGGTGGGTGGTTGGGTGTGAGCAGGTTGGTGGGTGGGTGGTTGGGTGTGAGCAGGTTGGTGGGTGGGTGGTTGGGTGTGAGCAGGTTGGTGGGTGGGTGGTTGGGTGTGAGCAGGTTGGTGGGTGGGTGGTTGGGTGTGAGCAGGTTGGTGGGTGGGTGGTTGGGTGTGAGCAGGTTGGTGGGTGGTTGGGTGTGAGCAGGTTGGTGGGTGGTTGGGTGTGAGCAGGTTGGTGAGTGGGTGGTTGGTTGGGAGTGAGCAGGTTGGTGGGTGGTTGGGTGTGAGCAGGTTGGTGGGTGGGTGGTTGGGTGTGAGCAGGTTGGTGGGTGGGTGGTTGGGTGTGAGCAGGTTGGTGGGTGGGTGGTTGGTTGGGAGTGAGCAGGTTGGTGGGTGGTTGGGTGTGAGCAGGTTGGTGGGTGGGTGGGTGTGAGCAGGTTGGTGGGTGGTTGGGTGTGAGCAGGTTGGTGGGTGGGTGGTTGGGTGTGAGCAGGTTGGTGGGTGGGTGGTTGGGTGTGAGCAGGTTGGTGGGTGGGTGGTTGGGTGTGAGCAGGTTGGTGGGTGGGTGGTTGGGTGTGAGCAGGTTGGTGGGTGGGTGGTTGGGTGTGAGCAGGTTGGTGGGTGGGTGGTTGGGTGTGAGCAGGTTGGTGGGTGGGTGGTTGGGTGTGAGCAGGTTGGTGGGTGGGTGGTTGGGTGTGAGCAGGTTGGTGGGTGGTTGGTTGGGTGTGAGCAGGTTGGTGAGTGGTTGGTTAGGTGTGAGCAGGTTGGTGAGTGGTTGGGTGTGAGCAGGTTGGTGAATGGTTGGGTGTGAGCAGGTTGGTGGGTGGTTGGTTAGGTGTGAGCAGGTTGGTGGGTGGTTGGTTAGGTGTGAGCAGGTTGGTGAGTGGTTGGGTGTGAGCAGGTTGGTGAATGGTTGGGTGTGAGCAGGTTGGTGGGTGGTTGGGTGTGAGCAGGTTGGTGGGTGGTTGGGTGTGAGCAGGTTGGTGGGTGGGTGGTTGGGTGTGAGCAGGTTGGTGGGTGGGTGGTTGGGTGTGAGCAGGTTGGTGGGTGGGTGGTTGGGTGTGAGCAGGTTGGTGGGTGGGTGGTTGGGTGTGAGCAGGTTGGTGGGTGGGTGGTTGGGTGTGAGCAGGTTGGTGGGTGGGTGGTTGGGTGTGAGCAGGTTGGTGGGTGGGTGGTTGAGTGTGAGCAGGTTGGTGGGTGGTTGGTTAGGTGTGAGCAGGTTGGTGAGTGGTTGGTTAGGTGTGAGCAGGTTGGTGGGTGGTTGGTTAGGTGTGAGCAGGTTGGTGAGTGGTTGGGTGTGAGCAGGTTGGTGGGTGGTTGGTTAGGTGTGAGCAGGTTGGTGGGTGGTTGGTTAGGTGTGAGCAGGTTGGTGAGTGGTTGGGTGTGAGCAGGTTGGTGGGGAGGGTGCCAACACCAGACCTTAACAAAAGTTTCCCCCTGTACAGGTTGTGTTGCTGGAAGCCTCAGGACGGCTGGGTGGGTGGGTCAGGACGGCTGGGTGGGTGGGTCAGCACCAGACCTTAACAAAAGTTTCCCCCTGTACAGGTTGTGTTGCTGGAAGCCTCAGGACGGCTGGGTGGGTGGGTCAGCACCACAGTCCACCCAGATGGGGGAATCTTTGAGCACGGACCCCGCAGCCTGAGACCTGTGGGGGAGCAGGGCAGGAACACCCTACAGCTGGTATTTACATCATGTTTGTTTTCTGTGCATTGTTTAGTGTTTAATGTCAAATATTTATTGTCATTTGTATTATGTTGTCACACAAAGATGTGATGTCTTGTAATGATGTGATGTCTTCTAATGATGCGATGTTTTGTAATGATGTTATGTCTTGTAATGATGTGATGTCTTGTAATGATGCGAAGTTTGTAATGTGATGTCTTGTAATGATGTGATATATTGTAATGATGTGATATATTGTAATGATGTGATGTCTTGTAATGATGTGATGTCTTGTAATGATGTGATGTCTTGTAATGATGTGATGTCTTCTAATGATGCGATGTTTTGTAATGATGTTATGTCTTGTAATGATATGATGTCTTGTAATGATGTGATGGATTGTAATGATGTGATGTCTTCTAATGATGTGATGTTGCTGAAACTTTCAGGCGGAGGAGCTGGGACTGTCCAGATATATTTTACCAATCTTCAGATCTGACCCAGCGGCCAGGAACAGATATTTGTACGTCAATGGTCAGCTTTGTGCCCTGCCCAGTAGTAAGTTGTCACAGATATTTGTACGTCAATAGTAAGTTGTGACAGATATTTGTACGTCAATAGTAAGTTGTGACAGATATTTGTACGTCAATAGTAAGTTGTGACAGATATTTGTACGTCAATAGTAAGTTGTGACAGATATTTGTACGTCAATAGTAAGTTGTGACAGATATTTGTACGTCAATAGTAAGTTGTGACAGATATTTGTACGTCAATAGTAAGTTGTGACAGATATTTGTACGTCAATAGTAAGTTGTGACAGATATGTGTCAATAGTAAGTTGTGACAGATATTTGTATGTCAATAGTAAGTTGTGGCAGATATTTGTACGTCAATAGTAAGTTGTGACAGATATTTGTATGTCAATAAACAATTGTATGAAGGATTTATTTTGGTGATACCCAAAGAAAAATTAAACGATCCAGAAAAAAAATACAAGAGCTGATGACGTGATGTCATTTTGTTGTCAGATGATCTTATAAAACTGACCAACAATTTTAAACTTTTCCCCAGGTGTTGTTAGTTTATTCAAAAAGATCCCTCCATTTTCCAAGCCTCTGATTGGTTCTCTGATGTTGGAGCCATTTCGCTGGAGGAGCCAGGACGAGGACGAGACAGTTCACAGTTTTGTCAGGAGGCGGCTGGGCCCTGAGGTCATTAGAAAGTTTGAACCCTTGAACCTTTGACCCTGTAACCTCCACCCTCATTGGCCCAGAGGTCATTAGAAAGTTTGAACCTTTAACCCTGTAACCTCCACCCTCATTGTCCAGAGGTCATTAGAAAGTTTGAACCCTTGAACCTTTAACCCTGTAACCTCCACCCTCATTGGTCCAGAGGTCATTAGAAAGTTTGAACCCTTGAACCTTTGACCCTGTAACCTCCACCCTCATTGGTCCAGAGGTCATTAGAAAGTTTGAACCCTTGAACCTTTGACCTTGTAACCTCCACCCTGATTGGTCCAGAGGTCATTAGAAAGTTTGAACCTTTAACCCTGTAACCTCCACCCTCATTGGTCCAGAGGTCATTAGAAAGTTTGAACCCTTGAACCTTTGACCTTGTAACCTCCACCCTGATTGGTCCAGAGGTCATTAGAAAGTTTGAACCTTTGACCCTGTAACCTCCACCCTCATTGGTCCAGAGGTCATTAGAAAGTTTGAACCCTTTAACCTTTGACCCTGTAACCTCCACCCTGATTGGCCAGAGGTCATTAGAAAGTTTGAACCCTTGAACCTTTGACCCTGTAACCTCCACCCTCATTGGTCCAGAGGTCATTAGAAAGTTTGAAAAACCTTGAACCTTTAACCTTGTAACCTCCACCCTCATGTGTTTGACAAACTAGACTTTGAAAATTGATGCGATGAATGTGGGATTCTAACTTATTTAGGTCTAACCTGTAACTTTTGTACCTGTCTAACTTGTAAGTTTTGTACCTGTCTAACCTGTAACTTTTGTACCTGTCTAACTTGTAAGTTTTGTACCTGTCTAACCTGTAACTTTTATACCTGTCTAACCTGTAACTTTTGTGCCTATCTAACCTGTAACGTTTGTACCTGTCTAACCTGTAACTTTTGTACCTGTCTAACCTGTAACTTTTGTACCTGTCTAACCTGTAACTTCTGTGTCTGTAGCTGGCTGACATCGCCATTGACGCCATGTGTCGCGGGATATTTGCTGGAGACTGTAGGACCTTGAGTGTACAGGCCTGCTTCCCTCCCCTGCACCAGATGGAACAGCTACATGGCTCACTGCTGGCGGGGGCCGTCTTTGGGTCCAAGGGTCAGTTGTGTGGGTCAGTTGTGGGGGTCAGTTGTGTGGGTCAGTTGTGTGGGTCTGTTGTGGGGGTCAGTTGTGTGGGTCAGTTGTGTGGGTCAGTTGTGTGGGTCAGTTGTGTGGGTCTGTTGTGGGGGTCAGTTGTGTGGGTCAGTTGTGTGGGTCAGTTGTGTGGGTCAGTTGTGTGGGTCAGTTGTGTGGGTCTGTTGTGTGGGTCTGTTGTGTGGGTCTGTTGTGTGGGTCTGTTGTGGGGGTCAGTTGTGTGGGTCTGTTGTGTGGGTCAGTTGTGGGGGTCTGTTGTGGGGGTCAGTTGTGTGGGTCTGTTGTGGGGGTCAGTTGTGGGGGTCTGTTGTGTGGGTCAGTTGTGTGGGTCAGTTGTGGGGGTCAGTTGTGTGGGTCAGTTGTGGGGGTCAGTTGTGTGGGTCTGTTGTGTGGGTCTGTTGTGGGGGTCAGTTGTGTGGGTCAGTTGTGTGGGTCTGTTGTGGGGGTCAGTTGTGTGGGTCTGTTGTGGGGGTCAGTTGTGTGGGTCAGTTGTGTGGGTCAGTTGTGTGGGTCAGTTGTGGGGGTCAGTTGTGTGGGTCTGTTGTGGGGGTCTGTTGTGGGGGTCAGTTGTGTGGGTCTGTTGTGGGGGTCTGTTGTGGGGGTCTGTTGTGGGGGTCAGTTGTGTGGGTCTGTTGTGGGGGTCTGTTGTGTGAGTCAGTTGTGTGGTTGTGTGGATCAGTTGTGTGGGACAGTGTGGGGGTCAGTTGTGGGGGTCTGTTGTGGGGGTCTGTTGTGTGAGTCAGTTGTGTGGTTGTGTGGATCAGTTGTGTGGGACAGTGTGGGGGTCAGTTGTGGGGGTCAGTTGTGGGGGTCTGTTGTGTGGGTCAGTTGTGTGGGTCTGTTGTGTGGGTCAGTTGTGTGGGTCAGTTGTGTGGGTCAGTTGTGTGGGTCTGTTGTGTGGGTCTGTTGTGTGGGTCTGTTGTGGGGGTCTGTTGTGTGGGTCTGTTGTGTGGGTCAGTTGTGTGGGTCAGTTGTGTGGGTCTGTTGTGTGGGTCAGTTGTGTGGGTCAGTTGTGTGGGTCAGTTGTGTGGGTCTGTTGTGTGGGTCTGTTGTGTGGGTCTGTTGTGGGGGTCTGTTGTGTGGGTTTGTTGTGGGGGTCTGTTGTGTGGGTCTGTTGTGTGGGTCAGTTGTGTGGGTCAGTTGTGTGGGTCAGTTGTGTGGGTCTGTTGTGTGGGTCAGTTGTGGGGGTCAGTTGTGGGGGGTCTGTTGTTGCGGTCAGTTGTGTGGGTCAATTGTGTGGGTCAGTTGTGTGGGTCTGTTATGTGGGTCAGTTGTGTTGGTCAATTATGGAATTATTGGCCAATCAAAGGGTCATTTATATTTATACATGCATTATTTTGTTATTGACTTTGTTGTGGATTTTGTCATGAAACTTTGCTGTAATACTTGTTTGAGAACTCTTTGTTGTGGAACTTGTTTGTTGTAGAACATGTTTGAGGAACCTATGTTGTGGAACTTGTTTGTTGTAGAACATGTTTGAGTAACTTTTGTCCCACCACAAATGTCTTCCAGGAGCTAAAGTTGAGGTCTCTGGGATGACAAAGCGGGCAGTAGAAGAGAAGTGGGCCTCGTGGTCACTACAGCACGGCCTGCAACAGCTGACTGACGCCATGGCCCAGGCCATCCAAAACACAAGAGGGGGGGAGGTCAGGAGGAACACCAAGTGTCTGGGGGTCAGCCTGAACCAGAGTGGGAAAATGGTGGTAAGTAGGGGGGGGGGGGGTGACTGGTGGTAAGTGGGGGGGGTGACTGGTGGTAAGTGGGGGGGGGGGGTGACTGGTGGTAAGTAGGGGGGGGGGGTGACTGGTGGTAGGGGGGGTGGTGGTGTTAAGTGGTGGGTGATATAGTGCTAATTGGTGAGTCCTAAGAAAGGTCTTGTGTGTCTTAATCTTATGATTGTATGATTGAGTGTTGTCTACATACTATGATTGAGTGTTATTTACATTGTGTAATTGAGTGCTGTTTACATTCTGTGATTGTATGATTGAGTGTTGTTTACATCCTATGATTGAGTGCTGTTTACATTCTGTGATTGTATGATTGAGGGTTGTTTACATCATATGATTGTGTTGTTTACATTCTCTGATTGTATGATTGAGTGCTGTTTACATTCTGTGATTGTATGATTGAGTGTTGTTTACATCCTATGATTGAGTGATGTTTACATTCTGTGATTGTATGATTGAGGGTTGTTTACATCATATGATTGTGTTGTTTACATTCTCTGATTGTATGATTGAGTGCTGTTTACATTCTGTGATTGTATGATTGAGTGCTGTTTACATTCTGTGATTGTATAATTGAGTGCTGTTTACATCATATGATTGCATGATTGAGTGTTGTTTACATTCTGTGATTGTATGATTGTTGTCTAGAATCCACCTGTGTTGCAGGTGAGAACAGAATCAGAAACTCTGGAGGCTGGTCTTGTTGTCTCTGCCATCTACAGCAAAGGTGGGTAGGGCCAATACAGGTGGGTAGGGCCATCTACAGCAAAGGTGGGTAGGGCCATCTACAGCAAAGGTGGGTAGGGCCAATACAGGTGGGTAGGGCCATCTACAGCAAAGGTGGGTAGGGCCATCTACAGCAAAGGTGGGTAGGGCCATCTACAGCAAAGGTGGGTAGGGCCAATACAGCAAAGGTGGGTAGGGCCAATACAGGTGGGTAGGGCCTATACAGCAAAGGTGGTTAGGCCAATACAGGTGGGTAGGGCCATCTACAGCAAAGGTGGGTAGGGCCATCTACAGCAAAGGTGGGTAGGGCCAATACAGGTGGGTAGGGCCTATACAGCAAAGGTGGGTAGGGCCAATACAGGTGGGTAGGGCCAATACAGCAAAGGTGGGTAGGGCCAATACAGGTGGGTAGGGCCATCTACAGCAAAGGTGGGTAGGGCCAATACAGGTGGGTAGGGCCATCTACAGCAAAGGTGGGTAGGGCCAATACAGGTGGGTAGGGCCTATACAGCAAAGGTGGGTAGGGCCAATACAGGTGGGTAGGGCCTATACAGCAAAGGTGGGTAGGGCCAATACAGGTGGGTAGGGCCATCTACAGCAAAGGTGGGTAGGGCCAATACAGGTGGGTAGGGCCATCTACAGCAAAGGTGGGTAGGGCCATCTACAGCAAAGGTGGGTAGGGCCAATACAGGTGGGTAGGGCCATCTACAGCAAAGGTGGGTAGGGCCAATACAGGTGGGTAGGGCCAATACAGGTGGGTAGGGCCATCTACAGCAAAGGTGGGTAGGGCCATCTACAGCAAAGGTGGGTAGGGCCAATACAGGTGGGTAGGGCCTATACAGCAAAGGTGGGTAGGGCCAATACAGGTGGGTAGGGCCATCTACAGCAAAGGTGGGTAGGGCCAATACAGGTGGGTAGGGCCTATACAGCAAAGGTGGGTAGGGCCAATACAGGTGGGTAGGGCCTATACAGCAAAGGTGGGTAGGGCCAATACAGGTGGGTAGGGCCTATACAGCAAAGGTGGGTAGGGCCAATACAGGTGGGTAGGGCCTATACAGCAAAGGTGGGTAGGGCCAATACAGGTGGGTAGGGCCATCTACAGCAAAGGTGGGTAGGGCCAATACAGGTGGGTAGGGCCTATACAGGTGGGTAGGGCCTATACAGCAAAGGTGGGTAGGGCCAATACAGGTGGGTAGGGCCATCTACAGCAAAGGTGGGTAGGGCCATCTACAGCAAAGGTGGGTAGGGCCAATACAGGTGGGTAGGGCCATCTACAGCAAAGGTGGGTAGGGCCAATACAGGTGGGTAGGGCCAATACAGGTGGGTAGGGCCATCTACAGCAAAGGTGGGTAGGGCCATCTACAGCAAAGGTGGGTAGGGCCAATACAGGTGGGTAGGGCCTATACAGCAAAGGTGGGTAGGGCCAATACAGGTGGGTAGGGCCATCTACAGCAAAGGTGGGTAGGGCCAATACAGGTGGGTAGGGCCTATACAGCAAAGGTGGGTAGGGCCAATACAGGTGGGTAGGGCCTATACAGCAAAGGTGGGTAGGGCCAATACAGGTGGGTAGGGCCTATACAGCAAAGGTGGGTAGGGCCAATACAGGTGGGTAGGGCCTATACAGCAAAGGTGGGTAGGGCCAATACAGGTGGGTAGGGCCTATACAGCAAAGGTGGGTAGGGCCAATACAGGTGGGTAGGGCCTATACAGCAAAGGTGGGTAGGGCCAATACAGGTGGGTAGGGCCTATACAGCAAAGGTGGGTAGGGCCAATACAGGTGGGTAGGGCCTATACAGCAAAGGTGGGTAGGGCCAATACAGGTGGGTGGGGCCTATACAGCAAAGGTGGTTAGGCCAATACAGGTGGGTAGGGCCTATACAGCAAAGGTGGGTAGGGCCAATACAGGTGGGTAGGGCCTATACAGCAAAGGTGGGTAGGGCCAATACAGGTGGGTAGGGCCTATACAGCAAAGGTGGGTAGGGCCAATACAGGTGGGTAGGGCCTATACAGCAAAGGTGGGTAGGGCCAATACAGGTGGGTAGGGCCTATACAGCAAAGGTGGGTAGGGCCAATACAGGTGGGTAGGGCCTATACAGCAAAGGTGGGTAGGGCCAATACAGGTGGGTAGGGCCTATACAGCAAAGGTGGGTAGGGCCAATACAGGTGGGTAGGGCCTATACAGCAAAGGTGGGTAGGGCCAATACAGGTGGGTAGGGCCTATACAGCAAAGGTGGGTAGGGCCAATACAGGTGGGTAGGGCCTATACAGCAAAGGTGGGTAGGGCCAATACAGGTGGGTAGGGCCTATACAGCAAAGGTGGGTAGGGCCAATACAGGTGGGTAGGGCCTATACAGCAAAGGTGGGTATACAGCAAGTGCTGTAGGGGAGGTAAATCTTTCAATGTTGGTACCCCACTAAAATCAAAGAGGGAGTACTTATAGCCAACTATAAAGTTTTAATTCCCCCCTACCCCCCAATTTTTGTCTTCCAGATCTGGCCAACATACTGCCAACATCCCTGGCAGACTTGAAGCAAGACTTATCTGCCCTTCCTTCTGTCAATGTTGTTGTGGTCAACTTGGAATACAAGGACAGTGTTCTGCCAGTGAAGGTAGGGCCAGCCACTCTTACATCAAATACTTTGAGTTATTTCCCTTGATACAGGCTACAAAATGTTTGTTTTCTAGAATTCAATTAAAAGTTAATTGCACATACATATAAATTTTTTTATAATTTTGTACAAAGAGTTAAAATATAAATGATTCAATGAAAATGTTTTTTCCCCAACAAAAAATATTTAAAAAAAAATGTACTCCACTAATGCCCACGACAATTTGATCCTCAGGGATTTGGCCACCTCCTGCCATCATCAGAAAGTGGCCCAATTTTAGGCGTCGTCTATGACTCCTGCACATTTCCTGAACACAACAGGAAGGGCTGCCCAGAGAGTACTCGCATTACTGTAAGACTTCAATTATTGCAGAGGTCACTTAGTTATGTAGAGCAAGTCACCATCCCAGTTCAACTAATAACATGATCTTAAGAAAAGGTTTCTACCATGCAGGTTATGATGGGCGGGTCATGGTACGACCAGCTGCTAAGACCCGACGGGTCGCTGCCGTCTGGCCCAGATTTGGTGTGGACAGCGTCTCAAGCCGCGGCCAAACAGCTGGGCATCAAGAGCCATCCAATCAGATCACACGTGTCCTTACAGAAGGTAATGTAATCTTTGGGGCTGGAGGTGGTGTGGGACTGAGGTTTTAGAGTCATAAAATGAGAAAGATATTCTGTTTTTAGCTGCTAACTTAATGGACCAAAAGTTTAATATTTGAATTAGCTGTGGGTAAAGTTTGTGACATTTTGTTTGGACAAAGTGAGTGGGATATAAAAAAAATATTGTTAATATTTTGGTTTTAAGTTAGATTCTATTTAAATATAGATTTTATGCTTCTGGCTACAGAAAAAAAAAATTCTGGTCCATTATTTTCAGGAGTGCATCCCCCAGTATAAAGTAGGTCATGTTCAGTGGTTGTCTGGTGTTGAGGAGAAAATTTCTAAGAGTAACCTCCCTTTGAAGCTGGTTGGGTCGTCCTACAGGGGCCCAGCCATCAATGACTGCATCAACAATGCCAGGAAAATGGTGGAATCTCTACGCACATCTTGATCACTCTTTAATTAATTCATTACCAATTAGTTTTAACAAATTTCTTGTATACCTTTAGACTGCTGACTGAGATTTGATGAATAAAACATTTGGTGCCTGCAGTAGGGAATATATTCTATTAGCTTTTGAGTATTTACACAGATCATTCTTTAAAAGTTTATTTATCCTAAACAAATTGGATGCATGAGTAGAGTTTTAAATGTTTAAATATTTATTCTAAACCAATTGGATGCATGAGTAGAGTTTTAAATGTTTAAATATTTATCCTAACCAATTGGGTGCATGAGTAGAGTTTAAAACTTACTGTGTGACTGTCTGAGATATTGATGTGTCACTATTGTGGTGGATGAGATAAGCTGAACCTATTTATAGAGCATGCTTTTGTTGTGAGCTCTCTGTTGGAGTGACTTTATAATCACAAGAGACCATTCTATGGACCGTTCTATGGACCGTTCTATAGACCGTTCTATGGACCGTTCTATGGACCATTCTATGGACCGTTCTATGGACCGTTCTATGGACCGTTCTATGGACCATTCTATGGACCATTCTATGGACCGTTCTATGGACCGTTCTATGGACCATTCTATGGACCGTTCTATGGACCGTTCTATAGACCATTCTATGGACCGTTCTATGGACCGTTCCATGGACCATTCTATGGACCGTTCTATGGACCGTTCTATAGACCATTCTATGGACCGTTCTATGGACCGTTCTATAGACCGTTCTATGGACCGTTCTATGGACCATTCTATGGACCGTTCTATAGACCGTTCTATGGACCATTCTATAGACCGTTCTATGGACCATTCTATGGACCATTCTATGGACCAATGCAAGGAGAAATTATGGGAGATATAACACTCATGACACTGTGTTTACAAACTTGCAATAATCTAATTATAGTTGCAATAAATATAATATTGCAATAATCTGGTTAAAGTTGCAATAAATTTTGCAAATTTTTTGTTATAATTTGAAAAATTACTTCATTTTTTTAAACATTTGAATATTTGACTGAGCATGACCTCTGACCTCCTGACCCAACCAGCAGACTTTAGTGATGGAAGCTGAGTGAGGAGAAGAGAACTCTGGGGTCAACTCATCCACTTAGCAGCACCAAGTGACCAGAGGGGGGGGGGGGGGGGTCAGAGAACTCTGGGGTCAACTCATCCACTTAGCAGCACCAAGTGACCAGAGGGGGGGGGGGGGGGTCAGAGAACTCTGGGGTCAACTCATCCACTTAGCAGCAACAAGTGACCAGACTGGGGGGGGGGGGGGGGGGTTGGGGGATGTTTCCTAAACTTGGTATGGTCACTACCCCATCTCTCTTCTCCTGTATTTCGTCCTGCCTCAGCTGACCATTGATTGGCAGAACCTTCAGGGTCACTGACCATTACTAATTAATGTTGCAAAAGTTTTGTGATAGTTTTTGTTGGTTCATTTCTCGACTGCTATTCTAGGTCAGCCTATCTGCATGGCTAATTTATTCTTAATTGTTTCATTAGTTTAAACAGATTTTGTTTTTTAGTTCTTGCTATTTATACAACTTTTTGTTCCATGACTGGATCACTTGTTGCTATTGTTACAACTTCTGTTTACCTACATGCCAGATTTGATACAATAAAAAAAATATTTATAAATGTTTGCTTTGATTATTCTTTGATTCAAACAGGGACATAAATGGTTCAAGAAAATTTACAGACACTTTAATTAACCCAATTAACCTGAAATATTTATCACAGACAAAAGTTAACATTCAAACAAGTATTTGGGGTTAAAAAGTACACAAATACAGATTCATCATATACAAATAGCACTGATATTTACATGTTCTGTTGCTAGTAGAATTATTGGTCATTTGTTTTAGAAAAATATATTCCACTAAATAGCTTTACATTATTTGTGATCTAATACAAAATCACAAATTGTGGTAAAAAAGCGATTTTTTTCTACATTTCTAGCCCTAGGAATAGTCTGGCCCTCAAACTTCATTGGTAATTTACATCATCCAATCAAAATGATATTTTAACAGGCTAGATAAAAATAGTCGATGTTAACAAAGATACAAAAAAAGATTCAAACCAAAGAAACAACCAATACTGATTTGTTGGAGGATTTAAAGCAGGAGCTGTGCACTGAAGTGTGCACTAAAGTGTGCACTGAGTTGTGGCAAAACATTAATTGACAGAAACAGTGGGCTGGTCTAAGGGAGGTAACTTGTTCTGTTTGATGAGTTTGTTTCTTGGGTTGGAAAGGTTGGCGTTGTAGAGTTGTCTTTTCTTGTCCACCTTCTGCTGCTGGGAGGCCACGGAGATGGGGGGGAGGATGGCGTCCACTTTGGGGGACTTTGGGAACTTGAGCAAGTTGCTGACCTTGCTGAGAATACCACTGGGGAGATACAAACTTGGCTCAGTACATTGTTGGACTTAATTGGATCTTGGTGTACAAACTGGCAGGTAAAACATTAAAAACTGGCCAGGTAAAACATTAAAAACTGGCCAGGTAAAACATTAAAAACTGGCCAGGTAAAACATCAAACACAAACTGGCAGGTAAAACATCAAACACAAACTGGCAGGTAAAACATTAAAAACTGGCCAGGTAAAACATTAAAAACTGGCCAGGTAAAACATCAAACAAGTGCTAGAGTTCAAGACATAAATTACAAATAACAAATCTGATGCGGTAACGTGGGTCAAAGATGTGGGTCACAGGTGTGTCAGGGATGTGGGTCACATGTGTGTCAGAGATGTGGGTCAGAGATGTGGGTCACAGGTGTGTCAGAGATGTGGGTCACAGATGTGTCAGAGATGTGTCACAGGTGCGTAAGAGATGTGGGTCACAGGTGTATCAGAGATGTGGGTCACAGGTGTGTCAGAGATGTGGGTCACAGGTGTGTCAGAGATGTGGGTCACAGGTGTGTCAGAGATGTGGGTCACAGGTGTGTCAAAGATGTGGGTCACAGGTGTGTCAGAGATGTGGGTCACAGGTGTGGGTCAAAGGTGTGTCAGAGATGTGGATCACAGGTGTGTCAGAGATGTGGGTCACAGGTGTGTCAGAGATGTGGGTCACAGGTGTGGGTCACAGGTGTGTCAGAGATGTGGGTCATAGGTGTGTCAGAGATGTGGGTCACAGGTGTGTCAGAGATGTGGATCACAGGTGTGTCAGAGATGTGGGTCAAAGGTGTGTCAGAGATGTGGGTCACAGGTGTGGGTCACAGGTGTGTCAGAGATGTGGATCACAGGTGTGTCAGAGATGTGGGTCATAGGTGTGTCAGAGATGTGGGTCACAGGTGTGGGTCACAGGTGTGTCAGAGATGTGGGTCATAGGTGTGTCAGAGATGTGGGTCACAGGTGTATCAGAGATGTGTCACATGTGTGTCAGAGATGTGTCAGATGAACTGTAAACAAAAACCTACTTGACTTTAGCCTGTACTTCCTGTAAGATCAGCTGATTCTCATCCACAGGTTTGGCAGAAGGACACTCTGTACCAACCATCTACAGCAGAAAAAAAGGTTTCACTTATTCTGGTTACAGCTTTGGCAGAAGTATATTCTTTTAATAGCAACCTAAGCAAATAATAAATCCTAACTTGTAGTGTTTAGCACAACTAACCTTTAGCCTATCACAACCTACCTTTAGCCTATCACAACCTACCTTTAGCCTATCACAACCTACCTTTAGCCTATCACATCCTACTTTTAGCCTATCACAATTTACCTTTAGCCTATCACATCCTACCTTTAGCCTATCACACCCTACTTTTAGCCTATCACAATTTACCTTTAGCCTATCACACCCTACCTTTAGCCTATCACAATTAACCTTTAGCCTATCACAATTAACCTTTAGCCTATCACACCCTACCTTTAGCCTATCACACCCTACCTTTAGCCTATCACAACCTACCTTTAGCGTATCACAACCTACCTTTAGCCTATCACAACTAACCTTTAGCCTATCACAACCTACCTTTAGCCTATCACAATTAACCTTTAGCCTATCACAACCTACCTTTAGCCTATCACACCATACCTTTAGCCTAGCACCAACATTGAATCTGCAACTTCTTTTCTTCCCAGTCAATGTTAAGGCTATAGTCTCTTGAGCCATGAATCTAATGCCCACATGACGATTCATCCCAAATACAATTGGCTGGAAGGGCGGGGCATGCACATGGGTTTCCTGGTCTCGCCACGACCAATTTTTTCTGCGAGCCCCGTAGTAGTCGAGCTCTATCCCACCCAGCTGGTCGTAGTTGAGCCTACAGTTAAGACGTGAACATCGCAACAGAAAGTGATTAAATTTTTCGTAATTAAACTTTTGTTTATAAGAGTGAAACACAAGTGAAACATAATCTGAATCAAATTATCAATATATTAATTTATAAAATGATAATTTAAGAATAAAAGAATTCTTTTTAGATGTGCCCATGCAGTTGAAAATGAAAGCCCTTTAATAATGTCAGAAAAAAATGTAAGACCTCATTTTTCCGTTGGCAAAATAGCAAGATCCAAGGCCACTGGGCTCAAAGACAGCCAGGATATGTGGGTCGATGGTGTCGTCCTGCACGATGTAGGTGTTGTGGCCCAGTGACACACTTATGATGGATATGGCCAGGCGGCCTGAGGGGTAGCTGGCCAGCGTTAAAGAAACTTAAAAGTGTACATCTTACAGTAGGGCTACACTAGCATTAAATAAATGAAGAAACTTGACAGTCTTACAGTAAAACATGTATACCTTGACAGTCTTACAGTAAAACATGTATACCTTGACAGTCTTACGGTAAAGCATGTATACCTCCCACAGTGAGACCAAAGGCCCTGTTCACTCAACCTCACAATAAATTATTCTAGGCTCATCATTTAGAACATGTCAGGAATAACTAGTAAGTTTTTAAAAAAAAAAACTTACTACATAATTAGCAAAACAAATGATGCAGTGTATTGACCCAACTTTTGAATGTATAGAGCTGTGTGATAAATGAAACACAACATCCAACCAACATTTCCACAACAACCAACATCCAAACACCAACATCAATAACCATCCAACCACCTTTTCTACCAACATTGAGCCACCAACAACCAACCCTCAACAGCCAACCACTCAACCATCAACATCTAACCACCAAATATCAATAACCAACATCCAATCACAGACTACCAACCATCCTACATCCAACCACCAACCACCAACATCCAACCACCACCAGCACCCACCCAGCATGATGAGAGGATACAAGACATGCCCGGTGCCATCAGGAAACATGGTGAGGAATGTGCTGCCATCAGGGTAAAATTTCTGGATCAACTGGCGTCCGTGTAGCTGTGGGGTAGGGGGGAAATAGTTTTAACAAAATAAATTGGTGGCCACATTTTGATATCTGGCCATCAACTGGTGGCCATGTAGCTGTGGGGTAGGGGAGAAATAGTTTTAACAAAATGGCCAAATTTTGGTATTGGCCAAAGTTTTGAGTTTGTGGCAACTGGCCCTCTTTATGTACTCAGAAAGTTTTTGAACAGATGGTTGAACCAAATAAAAATAATTTCATCTAGTCGCCAACTAAATCTGAAAATAAAAACCCTAACCCTGACCAATACATTGTAGAAGGCTTGTTAAACTACAGGGTTCACTAATTGAACAAACCCTAATCCTGATACAGGGTTCACTAATTGAATGAACCCTAACCCGTACCTTCCCTGTGGCTATCATGGCGGGGTGCAGGGGTTCAGGAACAAACATCTCATTGTCGTCGCCTTGTTCCAGTGGACTTGGCGCCCTGAGGGTCCAGCCCTCCTCCAGACAGCGCTGTGATGAGAGCTGGTAGTTGATGGTCTTCATCTGCCTTGCCCCTGGGGGGGATAATTGGATCCATTAATTCTGGTAGGGGAGGCTAGCAGTGTTTAAATAATAACATTAATTATCTTTGGTAGGGAAGCTTACTTAAATAACAATTTTCATTTTAAACTGAAATAAGGATAAATCTTCCACAGGTGATAAACGTCAATGAATATAAAAAATAATTCTATTGTTAAACTGTATGGGACAAATAATTCTAAATTTGAAATAAATAAATTTTATTTGTAATTCACCAAATTATATGTATACTTAGATTGTAGTAACTCACACTCTATCCAAATTACCAAAAGTGGATGATTTTTACTATAAGCATTAGATTAGTATGCTACTCTAAATTTGTTCACAATGATGATATAAATAAAGTTTGAAGAAAATTTATCCTAAGGTATACTTATATAGACTACTTGATTGGTTAAATAAATTAAAAAATTGGATTGTGCAAAATGAAACAAACAAAATGGTAACACTCTGGCTTGTGAAAATGGCTTCACAATTTCCTATGGGGTAGCAATGCTAGATTTTAGTAGAAAAATATACAGATCAAATGGAAATTATATAGGATAAAAATGAAAATTGTACAGACCAGTTAAAATTGTAAACCACGATTAATTAAGCAATATATTAGATGAAAAACTAAATGATGGTTAATTATTGCCAAATAAAAATGTGTTATAATATAAACAAACAAAAGTATTTAGTAAGCACATGGATTCATGTAAGAAATATTCAGAGAGTCATATACAGGGGGGGGGGGGGGGGCAAATAAATTGGGTTGATTGTGGATGGCTTTGAGGGGGTGGGGGGTGGGGAAAGGTTGTTTGGATTCATGGGCACGTGCATATTGTGAATGTAGACGTATATGCCAACAAACACAAAAAAATGTATCCTGAATGTATAATTTGAATAATTATATGGATGGATCTGGGTGGGGGGAGTGCATTATAAATTGTGTAAATGGCGTGTGTTATCTTCAGTATAAATGTGATGGCTGTTTAATTTCTTAAATAAAAAACTCTTGCATTATTTTGACTTCTACAACTAAAAAAACTGAAGAAAAAAAAGCCTAGAAAGCTACATTGTAAACAACTTCAGAACAGATTTGATTTTAGCGCTGAGAAAAAATAAATAAACACAAATTTGTTTAAATTTTAAGATTACGATAAAATAGACTGAAATAAATAGTAAATATGTTACAGAATAAAAAAAAATAAAGATAAATAAAGCAAAGTAGAGTTATAGGCAAAAAAAGGAAACTAACTAAGAATAAATGAACTCAAATTCCAATAAATTAATATTTATGATATGTGGAAAGCTGTTTAAAACACTCAGGTACAGAGAAAACAGAAATGAGCCACAAGCAAGGCTGTAGGCAGACCTTCCATGTTGAGAGCTCCATAGGTTGAAAACGAGGCTTGCCCTGGGTTCCTTGTCTGGGTGTTGAGATGAGACCCGTGACCCACTGATTCGCTAATACTGCCCCGCACTTTTTTTTCTGCACGTCCGGAAACGCCCCCAGCTTCAGCAACCCCTTCTCCCCCCTCCCCCTTCCCAACGTCCCCTGTTTTCTTCTTCGACTTCTTGGGTTGTGCCTCTGGCTGGTCAGCCCCAGGGGGGTAGCTCTCCTCTGTCTGGTCAGCTCCCAGGTAGCCATCATCATCTTGAAACATGTTTGAGTCTGCAGTGAATTCAATATTTCAATCAGAACTCAAAAAAGCCACTGCTAAATCTGGACAATAAAATTCAATGACTGCTGAATCTGGACAATAAAATTCAATGACTGCTGAATCTGGACAACGAAGGTAAACAGCTGCTAAATCTGGGCAAGCAGCTACACCTAAGAGACTGAAAAATCTGGGAATTTTAAAATTTTTATTTAAAAATGAATCTTTGCAATACAATGTTTACATTTGAGGTAACTGAAAGCCATGAAGAGTGTTACACAAGGTGAGAGTAGATGCTACAGAGAGTGATCTACTGCTCTACATCTAACAAAGGCATACTGTGTTTAAAAATAGTCTTTTGTAATAAATTATGAGAGACCATGAGATGAATGAGGTCAGCTCTACTGTACCTGGGTGATTATAAAACATGGTGCATCTAAATTTATTGGTGTATAATCTACGTGTACAAAAACCTCAAGAGAAAAACATAAAAATATTATAAATAAGTGGCAGTCTCTGTACTCCTGTTTTGGTGTTTGACTAATAAAAAAATCTGGTCAGCTAAGTTTGAAAATAATGAAATTTGGCACAGTTTTTGCTGAGTGCTGTTAAACTTGTTAAAACAAGATATCCATTTACAAATTCTTCCAATGACGTACAAGTGACCAAAGCAGTAATGGAGTAGTGACCAGTTTAAATATTTTCAGCTGAAACAAGTTTTGTTACAAATTTTGGGGGTTTAGAAAGAAAGAAACTTACATTGGAAGGACAAGTTTTGTTACAAATTGTGGGGGTTTAGAAAGAAAGAAACTTACATTGGAATGACAAGTTTTGTTACAAATTGTGGGGGTTTAGAAAGAAAGAAACTTACATTGGAACGACAAATTTTGTTACAAATTGTGGGGGTTTAGAAAGAAAGAAACTTACATTGGAAGGACGCGGCTCGCAGTCCACTGGCCTCTTGCTGTCTCCTCTGGAGTTCTCTCTCATGCATTCTACAACAAAGTTCAAAGTTCATCACCAAATGAATTCACATAAAGCCGTTTAGAAAAAAATGTGTTGCCATTTTGAATGACAGTAATGTGGTTGACCCTGACCTTTGAACAGCCTTCTCCTTGGCCATCTGTCTGGCTTGTTTGCTGCCATGGTGACCATGAACTTTGACACTGATCATCTCATTTCTCTTAGTGACATCCTCTTCCAATCTGAAACAATTTCAGTCAAGACAAGTTTTCTCCCTTTGGTGAAACTATCATGCATTACTTCCCCTACATTCCATGTATTTTTCAGACACCACTAAGCAATTGTTTTAAAGAAAATTTGAAAAATTAATGTCCTTAAAAAATAATTTCAGTGGTTCAAAAAAGATGCATTTATGTTATGAAGCTGGTTAGCGGGTGGTTATCTAACCGGTTAGCTGTGGTCATGGCAAATTCAATGAATTCTCTGTAGTCCTCACAACAGTACAGAGATTCAGGTGGGTGGCTCAGCTGTTGCTCCAGTGTTGGGAATGGTTTGATTTCTGCTCCTGTGTAGGTAAATTAAAAACTTGTAATGGAACAAGGAAATGGTTTGATTTCTGCTCCTGTGTAGGTAAATTAAAAACTTGTAATGGAACAAGGAAATGGTTTGATTTCTGCTCCTGTGTAGGTAAATTAAAAACTTGACAGGAAAACAAGCTTTTAATTTTCATTTCAGAAACTTGCTTTCTGGCCCAGCACTGATCAAACAATGTGGAGACACTTCAAAAATTTAAAAAGACATTTTAAAACTTAAAACGTTTTCACATGCCTAAATATGTGAAAAATGACCACAAAAACCATACGTACAAATATCAAATGTCTTTACCACAAAATTCACAGGTGCCGCCAAACATGCCCGTGGCTTTCCCATCCTCATCCAGCACCAGATCCACATTGTTCTGTATCCTCTCCTGTTCAGCTTTTTCCTTATCCAACTCAGCTAAATCAGATTCCCTGATGTACTGGAGCAAAGTAAAAAGTTGGATTGAAACAGGAAGTCAAGGGGACTGACAGAGACTGTAGCAAGCACTCAAAGACTAGTAATCATTAACTTTAACCATAAGGGTAAATTACGCAGTTTAATCTAGCCCTCAGAATAAACTTGGCAATACAAGAATTTCATGACAATCATCACTGAAAAGGTGTAGCATTTTATTTTTTTATAAGACAAAAATATAGTATGTATATATGCAAATATAAACACACATGTGTATATATATATATATATATATATATATATATATATATATATATATATATATATATATATATATATATATATATATATATATACTAGCTGCATCCCGTGCTCCGCCACGGTAAATCTTTTTTAAATGTACCAACTTGGGAACAGGACAAAACTAAACACAACACAAACGAACGCAAAAAAAACACAAACGCAAAAAAAAACACAACACTCATAACATAAACACAATTTAAATGCAATCATAAAGGCAGATTGCTCACAGTCTAGCCCGTAGCGCCAAATCGCGCCCTTTCCGGTGATTTGCACCCCTTTCAAACTTTCGATTTGCACCCCTGTCCCCCCACCGCCCTAAAACTTTCGATTTCCACCACCCCCCCCCTCGCAAATTTTTTCCAACCCACTTTGGCGCCCCCTAAGGTTGGCACCCGGGGACATATGCCCCCCCCCCTCGCTACGCCTCTCCTATAAAACCCCTAGCTTGTCCGCAAACCGAAAGATAGAATAATAATTAGTAAACAGTATAAATAATAGGCAGTTTTTAAAATATCCGTGTTTTACCTACAATAGTTTATCCATTCACGCATTTTTTCCCAGTACTTTAAATTTTAAAAATTTACAATAGAGTTTCATAACTAAAACCATTGCGCACCGAATGAACGTGATGACGCGTCTATAATAGTGCTTAATAGTTGATTAAAAATTATAAGTAGTAAACATTACATTCAGTGAATAAAATAAATAAAAAATAGCCTTTTATCAATCAATGCTAATTATAATATTCCAACAATAATGTACTCTCACACGTCTGCATAATTTGCATTCACATTTTGCTAATTATATTATTCCAACAATTATTCCGTCTTGCAGATTTTGCATTCACATTTTTAGCGTGAGTTCAATTTATTTTTATAATACCTCCCTTGGCAAAATTACTAAACAGTTTAATTAGATTTTTCTAACCTACAGCTATCATGTTATTAAAATGTATCCACTTTCTCTAGGAATATTAACGAAAACGATATTTGACATTGATCCTTTTAATATGTTTTAGCAATGTGCATGTATTTAATATTCTCTTTACGTTATGCAAAATTGTACAAACAGTGGAAATTATAAAATAGCTCTATGTCGTTATATAAACAAACCCTACTCTAATACTTGTAATAAGACACTGCGGTGCACTGAAAAGCACAGCATGGTGCGTAGTTTACTTTTATAGTCCCAAAATCTATAGCGATGACGGACAGACACAGCCCGCTTATATTATAGATATATATTTTAGAAATGGCAAGTGTTGTTCTGATAAATACTGTTCATTAATTGGCTTACTTAGATAACAATGTTTTTATATTAAGGTAGGCTACACTAAGGAGAGTAACTCAAATGTTTTGTAAGATAAACAAACTGGAACAGTGAAAGATATCACAAGTAGTGATAGAGAAGATAACACAATCATGTGATTGTGGTGATTGTGTCATTGTTTGATGGTACTTTGTTTTTACACAGGCAGTCGTTGGATGGATTAGTGGAAACACAAAGCTCATTTGTATTTACCAATTCATGGTTCGTTAGTGTGGATTAAGTAGCTGATGTAATTAAAAGAGGATGAGGGTGTTTCTTTTGTTTTGTGTGTGATGGATTCTTCTGATGAAAAACTGAAGATCTGAGAAAAAACTGATGAGAAGTGGATAAAAATGAGCAACATTGTGGATGTTTTTACAATATCCAGTGGATGGCAGGCTCAGGCAGTGGATGTTGGATATACAGTGTCTAGAGAAGCAGAGGTTGAAGGTCAAGGTGAGTTATGTTGTTGCCACCTTTTCTGGGTGGAATTTTTACCCCCTTTAGAAATAAAATAAAAATACTTGGAGAAATGGTTTCAACATTTTTTGAAGATAGATATGTAGATATGAAAATAAAGATTGAATTTTAATTCAAAATGACCAAGTTACTTTAGTAAACAGAATAAAATTACCAAGTTACATTAGTAAACAGAATAAAATTACTAAGCACTGTCTTTGAATTCTAGGTGAAAACTCAGGTGGTTTTTTCAATGTTGGAGATTTTTTTGATATCTTAAAGGTGAGAAATTTGAACTTTATTATGTTTAGCCCTAAATTCTGAGCAGCGCCATGTGTGTGTTTGTGGGGGGGGGGGGGGGGAGAAGGGTGGGGGGGAATGGGGGGAATTAAAGTGGATGTGAGACAGTGAGTAAAAATGTGTGTTGTAGCATGTAGATGAAAGTCCTATAATTTTAAAAACATATTTAGCTAAATGTAAACATTAATATGGTACATAGAACAAGAGGTAGATAAAAAATGCTCAGGCTGGAGATCAAAGTATAAGGCACCAAGAAAAACTTACTTTAAGAATTAGAGGGGGTCCTACTGTGGGCAAACGACTTCTGTGATCTCTAGACTTTTTAGGGGAGCCATCTTCAGAAGTCTGAAAACAAATTTAGAGTAAGAATTCTGTTGATATTACCAGCTGTGCTATGGTCTTACACAAGAGTTCATCTTGTCCTTGATTTGTAATTAGGTCAACTGCCACAGTAGTAGGACAAAGATTTGATAAAGAGGATAATTATATAACTCTTCCCAAACATCTTGTGAGTTGTTGCCCTTCAAGTGACATCATGAGATTACCTCCCCATGTAACCATGAGATTACCACCGCATGTAACCATGAGATTACCTCCGCATTTAACCATGAGATTACCTCCCCATGTAACCACGAGATTACCTCCCCATGTAACCATAAGATTACCTCCCCATGTAACCATGAGATTACCTCCCCATGTAACCATGAGATTACCTCCCCATGTAACCATGAGATTACCTCCCCATGTAACCATAAGATTACCTCCCCATGTAACCATGAGATTACCTCCCCATGTAACCATGAGATTACCTCCCCATGTAACCATGAGATTACCTCCCCATGTAACCACGAGATTACCTCCCCATGTAACCATGAGATTACCTCCCCATGTAACCACGAGATTACCTCCCCATGTAACCATGAGATTACCTCCCCATGTAACCACGAGATTACCTCCCCATGTAACCATGAGATTACCTCCCCATGTAACCATGAGATTACCTCCCCATGTAACCATGAGATTACCTCCCCATTGTGACCTACTTAGGTCGAGTCATTTTTATTTTGACATTGTATAATTCCTTATATGGAATGATTGTGTAACACCTGGGGTTTTTCCACTGACTTATTCAGGTGTTTGAGACATAGAAATTTTCCATTAAAATCTGATTGAATGATTCTGATCAGATGATTATCCCAACCAATGGCGACATGAGTTGAGGATAACCTCCCCTGTCACAGAAGTCTTTAATTGCCCTGCAAACTCGCAACACGAGGCAGTTTATCTTGACCTGGCAGTCTACGAGGCAGTTTTACCTTGGTCAGGTTGCCGTCCATATTGTCCGGCTATAGACTCTGACCATTTGAACGTGAGAGTACTTAAGACCTGTGTGTGCCTTGCTTTCTTCAGTTGATTTAGTCTTCTAGTTTAATATTACTTGTCGCTAAGTAATTCTAGAAACTACAGCAGTGTTGTGTGGCCTGTAGCTGTTCTTTAGACAGTGTAGAAATCTGTGATAGTGTTTTTTCCTACATTGTGTAAGTTGGGTTTTTGATATTTTATACATTAAATATTTTATTTAGTTCAACCTTGTGTTCTGCCACTTCTGAGTTCGCTGATTAAAAGGTCGTATGTAGATTGGATGAGTGTTAATTACAATAGTATCACTAGCTTCCCTAGACATTAAATTCGAGCCCTAGTGTGTCGTTGTGTTAAGTGTTCATCCACTAAGGCCGTAAGGCATTTGCATATGACCCCGAAAAAAGAATCCGGGGACGTTCTCCTTCTATTTGGCTGATAGATAGGTTAACGTTACAAAGTGGGGGCCCGTCCGGGATTTAATCTGTCGTTCCAGTTGTTGGTTATATCAGTTGAATACTAAGGTTAGTTGGATTTAGTTGTTTTTATATCCAGTAGCGCAGTGTTCTTACAACGCACGCTCAGGCTAGAGTATCTAGGTCAAATAAGCAGACGTGTCACGTCCTACATTTAGAGGTCAAGTACACGGCCCAACGCTGTGTATTAATTTAAAGGATCTAGGCTTGTTGTGATTTTCAAGTTGGTGTTATGGAGTCTTTTTTGGCTAATCCTACTTTTGAAGGTGTAGAAAAGTTGAGTAGAAAAGTGTTGATTAGTCTTGTTAAGGAATTGAAATTGGATTATTCTGTTACGCAGAAGTCAGAAGTGTTGAGAGATAAAATTGTTGTTCATTTCATTAATGAAGGGGTATTTGATGAAAGTTTGTTGGCTGGTGTATTACTTCGTGAGGAGAAAGTTGCTTTAGAGAAGGCATTAAAAGAACAGGAGTTAAAGGTTAAAATTGCTTTAGATAGGAGGAGGTTGGAATCAGAATCTGGTCAAGTTAGTGATGTCACTTCTCTGGTAGATCCAAAAAAGTTGTCAGTAGGGCAAGTGATTGCCAAATTTGGGAAATTAGTGCCTAAATTTGATGAAACAGATTTGGTCGTTTTCTTTAACTCGTTTGAGAGTTTAGCGAAGACATGTGAATGGCCCGAATCTTCCATTACTGCTTTATTGAGCTCTGTCCTTACTGGGAAAGCTGCAAAAACATACCAGGCACTCTCTCACGACGTTCAAAATAACTATAGTTTGGTCAAGACTGCCATTTTGAAGGCCTACGAACTAACGCCCGAGGCCTATCGGACAAAATTCCGAACACTCCGCAAGTTGCCCACTCAATCATATGTGGAATTTCTCTTTGAAAAGGAGAAAATATTCTCAAGGTGGCTACACTCTGAGGAAGTTTCTGAGTTTGAGAAACTCAGGTCACTTATCCTAAGGGAAGAATTCCTATCGTCCCTGCCTGAAGAGATACGACTACACATTCTGGATAACAAGATAACTGACATCCAGAAGGCTGCTGAGTCGGCTGACACATATATGTTGGTGCATAAGAAACCACCAGTGTCAGGAAACCGCCTCAACCCCGTGCTTCCCCTTTTTGGCAGCAATCATCCTGTTGGCCAACATTTGAAGGCATCACAGTCCAGAGAGAAACCAAGATCAACTCTCAATCGTCGAGCAGTATGCCAGTTCTGCAAAAGGCCTGGTCATCTTGTCAAGGACTGTTACAAACGTCGTCAATATAACAGAGAGGTGGTGCGTACTTCTGCGCACTATGCTCTAACCCCTCAAGCAGCCAGTTCAACTATGAACTCTAGAATTCCAAGGGACGCTCACCCTAAGTGTCCGCAAGAAGGTAGTCAAGTCTCCACACATTATGTGCAGTCACATTTTGACTGTTCTCGCCACCATCCAGTTTCTTCCGAGTCTACCGATCTCGAGGGATCGAGAAAAGTTGACTTTTCATCTTTTATTGCCGAAGCCATCATTAGCAAACCAGGTGATCCGTTGTCTCAGCGGAATATCACCGTCCTAAGAGACACAGGAGCGTCACAATCTCTTCTTTTGAAAAGTTCAATGGACATTACACCTGAGACGAACACCGGAAGGATTTCCATTATCCAGGGAGTGGGGACAAAACCAACTGTCGTCCCTCTACACAAGTTTGCCCTGAAACATCATCTCGTCGAAGGTGAGGTCATTTTAGGTGTGATAGATAGTATTCCTGTCCCAGGAGTACACCTACTTCTAGGGAATGACCTTGCGGGAAGCAAAGTATACCCCTGTACGGTTTCAGACCCTTTGTCAACAGTTCCAGATAATGATTATGAACTGTATCCTGCATGTGCGGTGACCAGAAGCCAGACCAAACAATTGGCTGACACAACGTCTGAACCACACCCGCCGTCATCGTCAAGAAATTCGACTCCCAAACTGGAGTCTATGCTTCCAGAAAACACAAGCTTGGGCTTACCCCTGAGAATATCTCAGGAAGACATCATTAAAGCTCAACAAGTCGACGCGGAACTCAAAGCAGCGGTCGAAAAATCTCTATCATCTGACGATGGAGAATATTTCTCCGAGAACGGCCTCTTCTTTCGTCGCGCTATACCGGTGAATGCCTCACCAGCCGAACCATGGTTGGGTAAAAACCAGCTGTGGATCCCTCCACCTTATCGGCATGAAATACTTAAGCTGGCACATGACCATCCAATGTCAGCGCACCCAGGAGTCACTAAAACGACGGCGAAGATCAAAGAACTGTTCTTTTGGCCCAAAATGAGAAAAGATGTGTCGCGTTACTGTAGAAGTTGCACGAACTGTCAGTTGGCCGGAAAGCCAAACCAGACAATTCCTAAGGCCCCTTTGAGTCCGATTCCTGTATTAGAAGAACCTTTTTCTAAAATCGTCATGGACTGTGTAGGTCCCTTGCCTAAAACCAAGACGGGCAACGAGTACCTACTTACCTTTATGTGTTCAAGTACCCGTTTTCCCGAGGCGATTCCCTTACGGAACATTAAGGCAAAGACTGTAGTCAGAGCCATGATCCGGTTCTTCACTACCTTTGGATTACCTAGAATCGTGCAAACAGATCAAGGCAGCAACTTCACCAGTCACCATTTTCAGGAAGCGCTAGCCAAGCTAGGCGTTACCCACATCACCAGCTCAGCCTACCACCCTCAGTCTCAAGGCGTACTTGAGAGGTTCCACCAAACCCTCAAAACCATGCTAAGAACGTTCGCTAATAGTAACACCCAATGGGATGAGTCTGTTCCTTGGATTATTTTCGCCGCGAGGGACTGTGTCCAGGACTCTTTAGGCTACTCGCCTTTTCAACTTGTGTTTGGACATTCTGTCCGTGGCCCCCTGAAGCTGATACATGAACGGTGGACAGGTACCAGCGATCATCCTGTGGAACACTTCGACGATTTTCACGTTCGACTGAAAGCCGTGTGCGAAATGGCTCACAAGAACTTAAGAAAGGCCCAAGTTAGAATGAAAGGACTGTATGATAAGAGTTCTTGTAAACGAACATTCAATCCAGGCGACAAAGTTCTTGTGCTAGTACCTAATCTGAACAATGCGTTATCCTTGAGATATTGTGGACCCTTTACTGTGCATTCAAAATTAAGTGATTTGAACTATGTTGTCAATACGCCCGACAGAAGAAAGAAACAGACAGTGTATCATGTCAACTCACTGAAAAAGTATTATGATAATTGTAACAATTTTCATTCCACAGCTAAAATTACTTTACCTGTATGTTCAAATGTTTCTGATGATGTGATACATGATAAATTGAAACCCCCAAAATTGGTAAATTCTTCCTTTTTAGATAATTTGAATGTCCACCTTATGCATTTGTCCACAGAGGAAAGCCATAGATTGTCTCAGTTATTCGAGACATTTCCCTCTATTTTTGGGGACGTCCCCAAAGAAGCGAAGGTTCCACCTCATGATGTAGACGTAGGTGACGCAAAACCCATTAAACAACACCCCTATAGAGTTAACCCGGAAAAAGCTGCTTTGATAAAAGATGAAATTGATTATATGCTCAAGAATGATATCATTGAGCCCAGTTTCAGCAACTGGAGTTCCCCATGTCTCCTAGTCCCGAAAGACGGTGGATCTTTCAGGTTTGTGACCGACTTTAGGAAGGTAAATGCGCTCACCAAAGCTGATTCCTATCCCTTACCTCGGATAGAGGACGTTATTGATAAAGTTGGTCAGGCTAAGATAATTTCCAAAATTGATTTACTTTCAGGATACTGGCAAATCCCCTTATCTGACCGTGCAAAAGAAATATCTGCTTTTGTAACCCCTAATGGTTTTTATAGATACAAACGTATGCCCTTTGGTATGCGAAATGCTGGTCAAACTTTCCAGAGAGTCATTAACTCTGTCATTGCTGACATAGACCAATGTGAGGCCTACATAGATGATATAGTTGTATTTTCTAATACTTTTGAAGAACATATTGTTCAATTGATTAACCTTTTTAGAAAATTGTCTGAAGTTAATTTTACTGTAAACTTACATAAAAGTGATTTCTGTAAAGCTTCAATTACCTATTTGGGTTATCAAGTGGGAACGAACCAAGTTCGGCCCATTGAAGCTAAAGTAGATGCTATTGTAAAGTTGCCACCTCCCAAAAATTGTAAAGAGATCAAAAAGTTCCTTGGGATGGCTGGTTACTATAGACGGTTCTGTCAAAACTTTTCAGCTATTGCTGAACCTCTTACTGCATTATTGAAAAAGGGTGTTGAATTTGAATGGTCCAATAAATGTCAAGAAGCTTTTTTAACCATTAAGTCATTTTTATCAAATGCTCCTGTTATGGCTGCACCAAATTTTAGCAAGCCCTTTAAACTTGCCATTGATGCTAGCAACTTAGCCATTGGCTCAGTCCTATTTCAAGAAGACAACATGGGAATTGACCATCCCATTGCCTTTTTTTCCAGGAAGTTAAATGAGAACCAAAAGAATTATTCTACTATTGAAAAAGAAGCTTTAGCTTTGGTTTTATCATTACAACATTTTGAAGTCTATGTCTCTTCTTCAACCAATCCAGTCAGAGTGTTTTCTGACCATGATCCCCTGAAATTTACCTCTAAGTTAGGACAAACAAATCAAAGAATATTGAGATGGTGCTTATATTTCCAAAATTTTAATCTGGAAATTTCACACATTAAGGGTAGTGATAATGTTGTGGCTGATTGTTTGTCAAGGATGTAAAATCTTATTGTACACATTGATCATGTGACATGCTTTGTGGTTCATTAGGACCATAAACAGGTTTTGTTTGAGTGTCACTCATATGAAAATGAGTGGTGTGAGTTTTGAATTTTTTTCAAAATTCCAATCCTGTTGAATATTTTGTTTATTTTCAGGTGAACCTTAATTAAAGGTGGTTTTTGATTATATGTAATCTTTTATAATAATATGTCTCATATGACTCCATTGATATTGTAGCTAGTCATTGAAATAAAGGTCTTACCCTGGCGGGTTTACCACTTTTAATATCCACATGGAAATAATGTAATACCCTTTTTTGAGGGATTTTGATGTATAATTACTTTTTGAAGGGTTACTCCCCTTTCACCAATTGTAAAAGTTGGAGTTGCTTCCCTTTTATGTTCAGGGATATTTTCATCTGGTATTATGATTTTGATTGCCTACATTGGTAAAACATTTTTGTTATTTCATTGCCAGATTGGTTCCCTATGTATGTTTTTGTGGAACCTATCTGTCACTTCCAAAAAGGGAGGGGATGTGACCTACTTAGGTCGAGTCATTTTTATTTTGACATTGTATAATTCCTTATATGGAATGATTGTGTAACACCTGGGGTTTTTCCACTGACTTATTCAGGTGTTTGAGACATAGAAATTTTCCATTAAAATCTGATTGAATGATTCTGATCAGATGATTATCCCAACCAATGGCGACATGAGTTGAGGATAACCTCCCCTGTCACAGAAGTCTTTAATTGCCCTGCAAACTCGCAACACGAGGCAGTTTATCTTGACCTGGCAGTCTACGAGGCAGTTTTACCTTGGTCAGGTTGCCGTCCATATTGTCCGGCTATAGACTCTGACCATTTGAACGTGAGAGTACTTAAGACCTGTGTGTGCCTTGCTTTCTTCAGTTGATTTAGTCTTCTAGTTTAATATTACTTGTCGCTAAGTAATTCTAGAAACTACAGCAGTGTTGTGTGGCCTGTAGCTGTTCTTTAGACAGTGTAGAAATCTGTGATAGTGTTTTTTCCTACATTGTGTAAGTTGGGTTTTTGATATTTTATACATTAAATATTTTATTTAGTTCAACCTTGTGTTCTGCCACTTCTGAGTTCGCTGATTAAAAGGTCGTATGTAGATTGGATGAGTGTTAATTACAATAGTATCACTAGCTTCCCTAGACATTAAATTCGAGCCCTAGTGTGTCGTTGTGTTAAGTGTTCATCCACTAAGGCCGTAAGGCATTTGCATATGACCCCGAAAAAAGAATCCGGGGACGTTCTCCTTCTATTTGGCTGATAGATAGGTTAACGTTACACCATGTAACCATGAGATTACCTCCCCATGTAACCATGAGATTACCTCCCCATGTAACCATGAGATTACCTCCCCATGTAACCATGAGATTACCTCCCCATGTAACATGAGATTACCTCCCCATGTAACCGTGAGATTACCTCCCCATGTAACCATGAGATTACCTCCCCATGTAACCATGAGATTACCTCCCCATGTAACCATGAGATTACCTCCCCATGTAACCACGAGATTACCTCCCCATGTAACCATGAGATTACCTCCCCATGTAACCATGAGATTACCTCCCCATGTAACCATGAGATTACCTCCCCATGTAACCATGAGATTACCTCCCCATGTAACCATGAGATTACCTTCCCATGTAACTAGAGTAAACTTATATTAATTGCAGGAACTGGTGTTTTTATGAGAAAACTTCCTAGAAACTAGCACAATGACAGGTCTTGGTGGATTGGTATTAAAATAAATACCTTTTATAGTGTGTGTAATAAGTGTAATCAATGTGCTATGGGATACATTGCACTTTGACCTGTGCATAATCTCAATAAGTAGCTTTCTCAAGGCTGTTTTATCAGCCATGGCCCCAGTGAGTGTTGCACTCTTGCTATGTTGTACAGTCATGCATGTTAATTTTATCACTAAACCTTACTTGGTGTTAAAGGTTACATTGTAAGATTAAATGTGGATTGGAATAAAACCTAATCACCAGTCTGTGGCCTAAAACATGGACTGGATTAAAAAGTAAAAAATTGAGATAGAAAAAATATTTCCTTACATCAGAATCCGAGCTGTCAGTCAGTGGCCTAAACCATGGACTGGATTAAAAAGTAAAATAAAAACTCCTTACATCAGAATCCGAGCTGTCATCAGTTAATGGCAGCCCAAACTCATCGTTTGGCTGTAAGGAGAAGGGAGACAAATCAGTGACAGTTCTATCGTCCCTAGCACTGTCATCTCCTGTGTGAGTCCGACCAGATGTTTGTCTTGAGTCCAACTTAGCTGGAAAAACAAAATATTTCAACAACTCAGACACCAGACGTTTGTCTTGAGTCCAACTTAGCTAGAAAAACAAAATATTTCAACAACTCAGACACCAGATGTTTGTCTTGAGTCCAACTTAGCTGGAAAAAACAAAATTTTTCAACAACTCAGACAACATAGGAATAGTGGTTCATTCATTTATCAAATGGAGAATGCAAAAAAAATAAAAATAAAAAAAAAATATAAATTTATAATTTTAAACCAAGGTTATAGTTCAAAGAACATTTTCTTAATTTTTTATTTTTTTAGGTAATAATTTTATTTAAAAATAAATTTAACAGGTTAAAAAAAGACTACAATTTAAAAACTATTTGCCTCATTATAAAATAAAAGCAATATAATCATTGTAAACTGCAAATATTTCTTCAAGTTACTAGAATAATCTAAAACAATTATTATTTGCCTATAATTAAATTTAATAAAAATAATTAACAAGATTAATGATTATCATGAATCTTTTTGTCAGAAATAAAATTTTGTTTAATTGAATTAATGTATTTCTTAATTGAGAAGCATAACACAGTAGTGGGTAGCTGTCACCTGTATGTGGGCAGTTGTGTACTGTATGTGGGCAGATGTATACTGTATGTGGGCAGATGTGTACTGTATGTGGGCAGATGTGTACTGTATGTGGGCAGATGTCTACTGTATGTGGGCAGATGTCTAGTGTATGTGGGCAGATGTCTACTGTATCTGGGCAGATGTGGGCAGATGTCTAGTGTATGTGGGCAGATGTATACTGTATGTGGGCAGATGTCTACTGTATGTGGGCAGATGTCAAGTGTATCTGGGCAGATGTCTACTTTATGTGGGCAGATGTCAAGTGTATCTGGGCAGATGTCACCTGTATGTGGGCAGATGTCTACTTTATGTGGGCAGATGTCACCTGTATGTGGGCAGATGTCTACTGTATGTGGGCAGATGTATACTGTATGTGGGCAGATGTCTACTTATGTGGGCAGATGTCAACTGTATGTGGGCAGATGTCTACTGTATGTGGGCAGTTGTGTACTGTATGTGGGCAGATGTCTACTGTATGTGGGCAGATGTCTACTGTATGTGGGCAGTTGTGTACTGTATGTGGGCAGATGTCTACTGTATATGGGCAGATGTATACTGTATATGGGCAGATGTATACTGTATGTGGGCAGATGTCTACTGTATGTGGGCAGATGTCTATTGTTTGTACAATAGCAGCTCTGAGTTTGAGCATTAAAAACATTTGACAAAATTTTTTGAGCTTACATGACCAAATGGAAGCAACTAAATAGCTTATGGTACTATGTAAAGCATGTATTATATAGCATCATTTTATTTATCATTCGAGCAGAGGCGTACAGAGTTTAGGTGATTTTAAATTTTTTTTTTTAAACTGGAAAACTTTATTTACTGGTAGATGTTTCAAGGTAAAGAAAATCATACTATACATATGAATTATTAATAAATTTTCAAATTGTGCAAAAACATATCACAATGGTAACACATGTTTTGCGGTGAGAAGTATGTGATACGTTTACTACAGTGAGTGTGAGACTTTGCAAGTTATATCTTGATCTTTGTGAAAAGGCAAGTGATGAAAAAAACTATCTTGATGATAAAAATCTTTAAATATTTGGCGATGAGCACTACAGATGCACAATTTTTTTCTGAAAAAGACCATGATTTTAAGAAAGCTAATCATAATTTTACTGAAATATAAAATTTTCCAATTGAAGCGCACCAAAATTCAAGAGATCTTAATGTCAGTCCATGTGTTAATAATAGTGACAACTCCAAAGTGATAAGTCCAAAGTGATAAGTCCAAAGTGATAAGTCCAAAGTGATACATTTAAGAATTTGAGGGTGCTTGAGTATAATATACATGAAAGCACACACACTTTTTTAAACTTTTACCCTATTCCAGCATGATGGCAGAAAGCAGAAGCATAATTAATTAATTAAGTATTGGTTAATTAATGTGCAATACACAGCAATCCATTGCAATTGTTAATGATTAAAGAATTGATTATTTTATCTGTAATATTAATATTTAAAAAACCATTTTTACATCTAACAACAAAGCCTAAACTGGCCACATAATATGCCAACCGTACAGACATCTATAGAGAAGCAAAACTGATATCCGTACATTTTTTCAGTCAAATCTTTACACAAACATATTCTAGCAGTATAAATTTTTCTAGCACGCAAAAAATTACCAAGACTTGATCTGAACCCAGAACTAGTTCGACTGGTAGCTGAACTTAATTCTGAAAATTTGGTGCAGAATTTTTTAAAACATTATTCACATTATTCAAAATAGCTAAGTGAAAGCAAGTACCACCCTCTTCCACTTTTTATGACAAAATATTCCCACCACGTTTTTTATAACAACAAATAGAATTATGGTTCATAATAAGCCCGGTTCAGTAATTTAGTTTTGAATGTAGAAAAATAAACTTTAATTTAACCTGTATAGGGACTGATTTATTACTTACTTATTTTATTCTATAACTATAGATCTTATAAAAAAACTCCTAATTAATATTGTTACATAAAGAAACTTACTGCTAAATTTTTTTTATAAAATTATAAATTTAAAATTCTATATTTATGTCTCCAATTTGCTGTTAAAGCTCTTACTATAAATAATAACGTGATTAAAATTGTTTTTTCTTCAATTCTGCTTTGACTTACCAGTTCTAGAAGAGAGTAGCTTCCCTTGTCCTGTGCTCTCCGCCCTGTCCTTCCATCTCCAGTCAGTCTGGGTAAAATATGTCACAAACAAAACTTTACGCCCATCAAACGTTGTGCGAGTTTCTGTAGACTTTTTTAACTTCATTGTCCTAAAATATTGGAAACAATATACATTTTTCCCTTTGTTCTTGCCCCCTTATTTGTGTTATATATACACAAACAATTAATATTTAATAGTGTAGAAAATCATGTTTTATTATACATTACCCATGTAAGTTTTCAACAAAGCTTGTGCAGTAAATAAAAAGGAATTGACTGTTTTATTGTTAGATATTATGTTATTTTAATCTTTATAAAAAAAAAAGTAGGTCAAATTGTTAAAAACAGAAATAAGACTTGAACCTAAACTTTCCAAAAAAAAGTTGGTCTAATTGCTAAAGGCAGAAATTAAGAGTTGAACCTAGACCAGGGGCGGAACTACAGTGCCGCCAGACCCCGCAATGCGGGGGGGCCCACGCCATTTAGGGGCCCACGGCCGACCATAAAAAAAAATTGTTATAGTTAAAAAAATGTTCTTGCATTTTTGACTTAATGTTTGTTTTGTAAAAAAGATTACCGTAGCTGCGGTTGGATTATCTTTATTCTATAGACACCACCCCACGCTCATTTTTCCTTCGTTTTTAAACCACTGTGAAAGCCGAGTCCTCTTTCTCCTACAATGAAACTTATCAAAGATAAGCAAACGTTCAAACCACTTCCATGACTTATTTCCCTTTTTTAAATAGTCAAATATTGATGTTCATAAGCCTCTTTTTAATAGATTTGTACTAAACAAATTAAAAAGCAATTACTTCTCTTCATTATTATTTGTTTATAAATTACTTACTAAAGAATGACACTGTATAAAAAGAAAATGTATTTAAAATTAATAAAATAAATACAAAAAAACATAAAAATAAACATGACACGAGACACCATTATTTACAGAAAGCTTTCATGTTTTATATTCTTTTGACCGATATATTATTAACGGTCTTACTGCAGAGATAATATAAAACTGATTTCACAAAACAGACTAATGCACTTCCACTCATGACATGATGTTGTAATTTGTTTTAATTAAAAAAAAAAACCCACGTATTTCTCATAACACGAACAGGCCAGCATGAATAAGTATCCTACGTTCGTATGTTGTGTTTGAGTATATATATATATATATATATATATATATATATATATATATATATATATATATATATATATATATATATATATATATATATATATATATATATATATATATATATATATATATATATATATATATATATATATATATAGGCTTATATATTTATATGGGGGGGGGCCTAAAAATTTTTGCGGGGTGGCCCATTTTTTCTAGTTCCGCCACTGACCTAGACTTTCCAATGATTACAAAAACACTTATAGAATTACCTCTTCTTGACATTCTTCGTCCCCTGTTGGCCATTTTCTTCTTCATCAGAAGATGAAGAATCTGCCCCATCCCCTACTGGGTGTTTAGCGTCTGAAAATTGATTGAATGTAAAGTGAGTTTTATAAAGGATTAAAGCTGACTGATTCTTTTTTCAATGGGTTTTATGAAAGGTTTATATGGCAATCTGATTGTATTTCTCTCAGAAAAAAAATGATTTGATATTCTCATAAGGTTATCTGAAGGTGAATTATTTATGGTTCAGACACGAGTCAAGCAAGGATGTTGCAGCTCATGTGTGTTGGGCACAAAGGGAAAAGATGATGATCTGAAGGCTTATTATGTTATAGGCCAACATCTGACAGAATAATAGCAAAAGTAACCTGATACGTTCAAGTTTTATTTCAATTAGTAATGTTCATGTTGGTCAAATACATTTCACTAGCAATAACACAAAGCACTGAATAATTTAATTTAAATATGTAGGCTATAGATCTTATGTTAAACAGAAAAGTATTAAACATTCTATAAAGTATAAATAAAAAGCTCACTGTATAATTTAAAATACAGAACTCAATAACATTGAATAATTTTAATGCCAATTATGAAAATTCCGCTTGCAAATTGCAAAAAGATGTAAGCCAAAACTAAATATTCCGTAAAAAAAAAACATTTACCTAAATCAACTTCATCTACCTCAGGTTCAGATTTTTCTTCTATAACTGGGATGAGGTGTTGATTTTTATCTATCTCTTGAAATAAGCCTGCGCTATTTCTTCTGTTTTCCAATTCATTAAAACTGCCATAAGAAACTGCCATTTGATTACTTTTAGTACTATCATCTTCTATATCCGCTCGTTGCTTCACCATGTTAATAAGGGCTTAGTCTGCGATAACCTTTTTGGGCAAAGTTTCAAAACAAAACACTTTTAATAGGGTTAAAATTAGATTCATACAAAAATCTATCAACAGTAAATTAAAAAAAAAATCTTTATTAATATTACAAAATGCTGGCAAGGCTACTACTAAACTAGGACTAATCTTACTCATATTCACATGATAAGGTATAGGCATTGGTATAGTTTAATATTCAATCTAGAACATAAAAGCCATACAACCATTTGTAATAAAAAAAATTGTAAGCCTATTTTAGTATTTAGATTTTTATTCTAGATCTAGCCAATTTTTAAAGGCAGCATTTATGTCACACAGGCCCTCTTGTAAATCTGTTCACTAGGTCGGATGTAATCTAAAAACTGATACCCAGAATTTTCCAAAGTTAAAAATACGAAAGGACTAACTTGATTACTCTTTCCGAAAAATACTGACATAGTCTTATTTCAAAACCAAAGTTAGGCGCAGGTTAAAAGATAGATGATATAATTTTTTATTGTTTTGAACACAGAAGTCACCCAAATTTTGAAACATTACTAATTTGTTACTTCATGTTAATGAAACATATTTAATTTTTTTCTTCCACTCTTTATTTAAATGTAAATTTTGTTTACCACTATCTAGCATGGTACTAGGCCTAAGGCAAGGTGTATAAGCACGCTCACGAGAACTCACAATGACCCCAGTTTTTTTTCAAATTGATTTGGGAAAAACAAAAGTGGTGGTCAAAAGTTAAAATATGCTAAATTGGCTTAGTTTACTAGTGTGCTAGCTAGCCTATTATTGATAAAATTGATTAATTTGTAATTAAAAAAATCATTCTGAAATTCTCATCAAAATGCCTACTCTAACACTAACTAGTAGTAACTAGTAGATTTTCTTAGTAAATTTGAAATGTACTCAATTTTCAACTTAAACATGACAACTAAATAAAAAACGTCCATACTTTATCCACTAGGCACTAATTTTGGGAGTTGTTGCAAGTTTTAGACTAAATTATTGAATTTTAAATTTTTTGGTCACTCACAGCTATGGTATGAGGGATCCATCCATGACAACCTGCTTAAAAGCTGAAGGGTTTAACTTTTTAATTGACCGTGAAATAGATCTAATTTTTTTTTACAAGAGAGTTCCTAAAAGTAGAATTGGCCCGTCTATCGTCGGGATATATTTATAGAGGGAAAAAATTTAAGAGAATGTCATCAGAAAAGAATTTTAAAAAAGACAAGACAGAAGTGATGTTTGAATTCTTTTATTTCTTTAATTTTATAACATTTTTTATTGAACAAAAGAGCAAAATAAAAAACCATGCCAGGTAAACGTATCCATTCAAATAGCGGTCACGTGGTCAAAAAAAATAAAAAAATTTGGTTGTCATTTTTTGGACACATCTTATAAAAAAAAGTGTTGAAGATATTTGATTTATTTTTTCATAGAATGATAAAACTAATAATGCTTTACTTTGGAAATCAATTTTGTGAGAGGGAGATCTATATTTAAAAAGTTAAATTATTTTGAATGACACCGACTTTAAATTTAGCCTACATTCCCCAAAGCAATTTCTGAAAATGCTTTTCTGGCATATTTAGCCTTGCCACCTATAGCATGTTTTTATAACGTGAAAACCCGCCATTTTACTCGTGATAAACATTTTTAAAAGTAATTCTAAGAAGGTCTCTGGAACTAAGTCGAAAAACTCGCCGGAAGTCATGGTCCGATCCTTACGCCATGTTCTGGTTAGCAACCAAGGACGCTTTTAAGTTAGTGAGCCTCCCTAGTAACTAGGCCTAAAGTTAAAGAGTTGAACTTCAACTTGAAGGAAAAAAATTAAGACTAGGCCTAAGTCCTAAGTCAAGTGTTCTATCTAATATTAATTACTTAAATAAGTTAATAATTTAATTACGGTAATCTATCGTTTTAGGTACGTAAAATCGCCCGCGACTAGTAATGTGAAAAACAGGTGACTCCTTACATTTTAATAATTATTTCACATTTTGAGGAGGATTTATGTTTTGAAAAATACAAAAATGTTTCCTTGTTTCATTTATGTACCTGTTTCTAAACAATTGAATTAAAACTTTTCAGTAATAAATGAACACCAGCGATGTTTCCAACAGATGCAACCATGCTCATTTACTATAGCAGCCATCTTGTTAAAGTTTTATTTTTATAGACTTATAGCGCAAGATTCAGGCGGAAGTCACTCTATTTTACAAATGGCTGATGTTTATATAGCAAATCTTGCTTGCAGACACTGCTGTTTAGTGTTTAAAGTTAATTTCGGGCCTATATTGATATATTTAATTAGCCATTGATTTAGGTTTATTATTCATTTATCTATAACATTTGACACAAACATATCACAATATACTTCTATTACAGCCTTGACAATGAGGTAACGTTTTCGTACATTAATAGCCGCGGGCGATTTTACGTACCCAAAACGATAGATTACCTTAATTACTTAATAATTACTATCTAATATTAGGCCGGATTGTTGCTTATATGGCTGGATTGACCTCTGACCCTGAAACGTCACGCGTCGTTTTTTGACGGTTTTTACGTTTATTTTAGGGGTCCTATCCACGACAAATGAAAAAACTGCTAATATCGCAAATTCTCATCATTATTTTAATGCGATATGCTAAATAAATGGACGCCATGCCTGAAAATAACCGAAAAAATCGCCAGATATGTGGTTTTAATTAATACACGCTATTCTTGTCAAGTACTCTTGGGAAAAACTGAACTGCCGCCTTAAACGGCCCAGTACATGGGCAAAACCCCCTGGTACAGATGCAGAAATATATAATTGAGATATTTATAATGAGTAATTACAGTTATGTTGATTCGCCTTTTTTATATCGAATTTCCATATGAGGTACCCATGCAGACATTTCTGTCCGCTTTGTTTACTATCGTGACGTCATTGTTACGCTAGTTACCTCACAGAAACAACTCGTTTTTGTTTTTTGCGGAATGAACTGTTAAGTCTAGTATTTTAATTATAATTCAATTGTAGCGTGTGCAGAAAAATTAAAATTATGGAAATTATTTTTGTATTTGTAATTTTATTAGTATATTGATTTTTTCTTCACTGTGGGCCGACAGTAGCTGCATTGAATTTAATTCGTGACCGGTGGTTAACCTCGTCAACGCTGCGTGGCCTATTCGTTTATATAATTAGTGATGCTCGTTCAGTGGCCTTTTTCAGAGCTAGGCCTAATTACGGGCGTTTTTTTAGACTTAATTGATCGGCCGTTAGCCCTTTTCATTGCTGCGTATTTTAAAAAATGCTCGTTCAGCGGCCTTTTTTTTTTTTTTGGCGCTAAATAATCTGTTTACGGGCATTTTAAGCGTTTATTTATTTTATTTTTTTTAAGCTAGACGTAGATCTAGTTTAAAAAATATTTTTTAATACAGCTGGCTGCAGGGGGGGGGGGTGCAAATCGAAAGTTTGAGGGGGGGTGCAAACCGAAAACTTGAGGGGGGGTGCAAATCGAAAATTTGAAAGAAAGTTTGTCCCCGGGAAGAGTCGCTACGCCTTTGGGGGGGGGGGGGGCTGACACCATTAAGTGCCGCACCGGGTGACACCCGACCTCGCTACGCCACTGGCTGGCTGTCTTGCATGCCTGATATGTGAACTTTAAAAAAAAATGACCGAACTTTTAAAAAAAATGACCAGAAGTAGGGAAGTAGGTCTGTTTTTCAATTGGCTAGAGGGAGGGGGGGGGGGGAAGAGAGAGAGAAGTGAAGACACCGACCATCTCGTGTACGCGTGTTCATGCTATGACGTGTACTATAGGCCTGCTGAACTCACGGTGACCCGCGACCGTGGTGGGATTTTTCATCCACAGGATAGTAAACGTAAGCAAGCAATCACGCGAGTGACGATGTTTGGAGATTTAAAAAAAAAAAAATCACATACGTCATGTTTTCAAGATGAAAAAAAAAAATGTAATGTAAAAAAAAAAAATACCATGTATGAACCTCAGCTGCCACACTGTTGACTCAATATAATGTGAATTGAGTGTAAAATGTATTTGTATTTATAAACGATCATAACTGTTACTATCATATTATTTTAAGCATATTTATTATTTATTATTTAAAATTAGAATTTGAAATAAAAATATTTATTATGGTCATTTGATTTATGCAGGTGTTCATTACTTCATAAAATGGTATGAATAACATGTAGAGTAGAATTTAATAAATAATAAAATAACTAGATCTAGTTTTATTATCAACCAGTTGCTTTTTGTTATTTTCCGGTGAGTAAATTACCTAAGCTGACGCAATTACCATGGCGGGAATTAAAAGCTCGTGTACACAAGTCGACGACGTCATGTTATGCCAAGAACGCTGTTTTGTCATTCATTTTCAATTTTGATTAATTTTCAAATTCTCTCTTTTCTCGTCAACCGAGTAAGCTAGATATTTAAATGTGGTGTCAAATGTTCTCTTAAGGGGTAAGGAACTTAATGGTGTATTTGAAATAACAGAATATTTTATTTTAAAAAATCCATAATTTAACCTATCTAATATCTATACTAGTGTTGTAAGTGAAAGGGGAACTTTACTTACTTTAATCAAAAGGAATCTATAAATCTAGGTCTTAATTGATTTTTTATTATGTTATTTATAAATGCATTGTTTGTATATAGATCTAGATTCTAGATATCTAGATCTAAGCTCTAAAGGCATAAAAAGCGTAAAGTATTGAAAGCTGACAAATTTATATCCGCCATTTGCTTAGTTTGTTGGTAGCGACGGTCACGTGACACTCCTACCTCAGCTTTACGACAATGAGTAGAATCATTATTTTTAAGTAGTCCATAAAGCTTATTGAGAAATTTTTTTTTTAAACTAAAGTTTCCCGAGTTTATAAAAAATTAACTGTTGGTTCCTAGTGGAATAACAAAAGAAAATTTGGTAATCTATCGTTTTAGCGTAATCAATTCGGCTGCAGTAGTAATGTGCGGGAGAGGTAGCTGATGAATATATTTGTTTAAATAAGTATATTTAAGTCAAATTTTACAAAATATAACAGATACTTGATTAAAATTAACAATCAGTGACCAAAACAATTTAAAATATCCTGAAACTAACTTTAAACTAGGTGTTTGAGATAAATATTAGTAGATAAAAACAGCGGCCATCTTTCCAAATAAAATTTAGAGTAGTTTCCCTTGATACAAATGTCTATTCGTATGTATATTGTGTTGACTTTGTTGTTTAATATACATAGTTGTCTTGTTTAATATAAGTAGGACAGAGGGCCATCTTCTTATCTTTAATTTCAATTGAAATGAAGGCTATGTATGAATGTACATCCAAAATCTCAAAAACTTTTGGGAGGTCCATCATTTATTAAACCCTTTTGTACTGATGAACTTGTCAATTATTAGGTCGTCCATCTTCTTCATAAATGACGTTGGACTCAAAATATGGGACGGTGTAATATATTAAAAAAAAAAGATGAAGAATATATTCGTTTTCGTTAGAAATTGTGATTACGCGTTCGGGTATAGTAGAACTGCGATATGATATTAAATCATCATCTTGCTTTTAGTGACGATTGGGGGAAAGGGAATTCATCGTCATCGTATGACGTCATTTATGGACAGGACCGGCGCGAACTAGGCTGTCGCCTAGGGCGCTATCCGTAGGCGGGGGGGGGGGGGGCCAAAATGGGTTGGAAAAATAAATTGAAAGTTTGAGGGGGGGGTGAAAATCGTAAGCTTGTCCCCGGGCGCCGGGAAGGGTCGCTACGCCTCTGATAATATGGGGGCATGAAAAAAAATTGCAGAAGGGGGGGGGGGGCTTTTATTAACTAAATAACCTGGCGCCGGCACTGTTTATGGGTGATCCATTTAAGCCTAGTTGTTTATTTTGTCTGTAGACATTAGTCTTAGGCCTACACTTTTTCTGAATTAAGATTATTGTGTTTATAAAAATAGTTTTAAATTTTAATTAGTTACATCTGAATACCACATGGGTTTTTTTCTTTGCCTTCTGCTTTCATCAGTTTTTTATTTGTTTAATAGTCGATGTTTACCGATCCCCACCATCAATTATTACAAAAACAAAAAACACCCACTATATAGTGATATCTCCCTATAGAAAAAAAACTAGATCAACCTATAGTTCGTAGGAAAATTAGAATCTATCACTTATTCGTCTGTTTAAAAAAAAAAGAAATACGTCATTTTTCTCAACCCCGCCGTTTCATCCCCCACTTAGCACAACGTCACCAAGTTTGCGGCGCGCGTGACGTCATTTGTCATTAGGCTAATGTTAAAGAAAGAGATACCGCGTAATTAAAAAAGTCAAAGGCACTAATGCGTTGAGACTTTAGCGACGTTTAGATCTAAATGACTTTAGTACGGTATATTATATTGGTGTTTAATTTATTACAGTGGCATGCTGTGCTCCCTCTACTACACAAATTCACGTGCTTTTAATTTCTGCAACCTGCTGCTCTGAGATGTTCGGCTGTAAAATGCCCGTGACACAGCGGCCTCCGTAAATACATTTAGGCTCCCGGTCCCACCTACAAACTTCGTCTGCCCATTAAGCTCCTCGCAAAACTTGTGATTGATATGTGGACATAAGCGGCGCTAGTGGTGGTGTCAAAAGGGACCCCCCCCCCCTCCCCAAGCTCAGCTCTTAAAGATGCTCCGCACTTCATAAAAGACAAACTTGATATTCAGACATCGTCGGACTCGGGCGTTTAGCCGACTGCCGTATTCCTAATGCACCGTCCACTGCTAACACTATTTCTATATTAAACTCAAGCCTATACTGAGCTCTGGCTTTTTACATTAGCTGCTGTCGTATTAAGAGCTGATCTTTTGTTATGCCCCATGTCGCGAAACTTGGTGTTTTGTCCAATTTTACCTGCAAGCCAATAATTGTCTTGGATTCTTGTCGAATATCGTTGCCAGGAGCTAGTTGGTTTGAGCCTTATTGTCAGAAGTTATTTCATTTGGAGTCAATATAGTGCGGCCTATTTTCGTCGGTAGGCATTTAGTGGCAGGCCCTTTTTGGCGGGGATGGTGTGCTGAGGTTGTTTAACACCGCTTAGGACAACAGGCTTGCAATAGTTATGATCATTTGTTATGAGCAAAGGTATGCATGAAAACGAACGCTTTATGTCCCTCATTTTCATTGAGCTTTATAGAAGTCTTCCATAACTGACGTCACTCCCCCCTCCCCCCCCCCCATCATCCCTTCATTATAGGTCATAAATTGCAGTCCTACGTAAATTGACGTCACATTAGAATAGCATATGTGACATCGTTTATGGACAACCCATATCACTCATTTTGGGTATTTGATATCAACATTTTGACAACAAAGGTTATTCAAAATGTATATTGGAGGTTAGGACTTGATATCTACCATAAATGACATCACGCACTTAAGGGGTGGAGTAACTGGTTTAGAGACCACGGTTCACGTTGGAAGTGGAAGGGGTAAGAAATGTATTTCGCCTAATACAAAAATGCTGAAAAAAAATCTTTTTCGTTAGAATAATGGCTTGACTTTTTAACAGGCAGGGCAAAAGGTAATTTTCGACATTACGACTATTTCGTGACGGCGACAAATGGGGGGGGGGGGGAGGGGGGGAGTTAAGGTAAAGAGCGGTCAAAAAACGTGACGTCATTTATGATTAAATCAATAATTAAAGGAAACAACATGAAATGAAAATAGCAAACAAACAACAATTATTCAATTAACTCAAACTAATATTTAAATAAACATTAGATATGTAGTGGTAGCTCTATAAAAATAGCCTGGAATTTCTTAATGTATAAAAATTGCATCTTATAATAATAATTCTAGAAGTGATGTTCATTGTCAGTCAATTAAATTGTTTAAAGGGCAGAATTTAAAAAAAAAAACACATGCTTTGTCTTTGTATTTAAACACAAGACAATCGTATTTCATAGCAAACATCAATACATTTCCATACAAATAGAAATTAAAGGGAAATGACTCTAAATAATATTTTCTTAAGATGGCCGCTGTTTTTAATAGCAAATTTAGTATCTGGAACATCGTTGTTAAACCTTAATTTCATGACATTTTTATTGATTTAACCCTTAAATGTGGTTTAATATTCAATTATCTTTAGTATTTTAGTAAAAAATGCAAAAATATACTCATATTTAAGCCATATTTGTTAGTTACCTTATCCCTACATTACTAGCGACGGCCGAATTGATTACGCTAAAACGATAGATTACCGAAAATTTACTTATAAAAATGAGTGGCGACATTGCCTAGCTTTGAAGTCACATGATATCTATTTTAAGCTATTGACACACATGAACAGAATTAGTACACTACACGTTTAATTAATAGTAAAAATAAATCTAATAAAGTTAAATAAAGTAGGCAATAATTATTTATACTTCCAAAGCTTTAAGATAGACTAGACTGTAGATGACCTCATATTAGATATAGTAAGATCTAAGTCTTCTTTGTCTCTATGACTATTAAATTCATTCAATCCCTAACATAACATTACCACCCCCAGCCTTGCCTTAGCGCCTTAGCTGCCAGCTTAGCTAACTTAGCGGACTTAGCGTCTTAGCAAGTTTCAAGTTAAGTAAGTTACTAATCTAGATCTTAGATCTAGATCTAGATTTCTAGTTAGCATCCAGCATAATAGTATAGCATAGCTTTAGTACTTAGCTCCATCTAAATAAATATATTTCACAAAAATAAGCAACTGCGAACACGAATTCACATCTGTTGATTCATCAACTTGAAATTGAACAATGGTGAAAGATTGATTTCATTCAAAATTTGTTCTTCTACGGACATGTCTGCTATAAGCCTCTGAAAAATATTATTAGACAGAGGTATTTGTTGCATCTTTACTGCACTGGAATCCCCAAGAATTAATTTCACCATCTTCAACATACAGGGTTTGATGAGATGTTCTCCTATTGTATGAGGTATTTTCTTTGCTTGGCAATTTCTAATGCAACTTCATATGATGCTTGCACTAAATGCTGTGTTTCCTTGGTGAAAACTTCCAGTATGGTCAAGTCTCTGGCGTTTGGATCTAGATCTAGCTTTATGCAGACGAATGAACTCCATACTTTTTTGATGTGTTCCGAATGACTTGTCTCAAAATGACTAAGAGCAATCTGAGAACTTCAATACACTTTCGTTTTAAAAACGTCAGCCGAGAAAACAAAAGCTTGTCGGAATAAAAAAAAGAGAAGGTTCAGAATAAATAATAAAATGAAAAATTAGAAGTATCTTGAGGAATTGCTTTCTTTTTTGTCGTTTAATATAAAATTATTCAAACTTCAAAACCCCATTAAAAACTTATAAAAAAATAAATTGTTTAGACAATTGTTTGTTTGGTTTTGTCTACCACTTGGCGGCCCCCCCCCCCCCCCCCCCACTCCTGCAGAAAGCCCCATGGTTTGGGAACCCATGACCTATGTCCTTTATTATTTTTAGTTTTAAAAGTCCCCACAAATTGCTAAACAAATGCTCAAAATGGTGAAAAAAGAATTAGCCAATACAATAAACCTTAAAAGTTGAGGATTATCATGGTTGTATGTGATGTCAGATCCCAAGTAAATGGTAGATCTAGACCTAGTTAGAGACTGATAGTCAAGAATTTAGATGATGTAAAATGGTTTGTTATGAGTCTGGCTAGAGTTAGGTAAAGGTTTCACTGACTACCAATTTATAAAAAATGATAGTCTCACTGTAGGTTTAACACCTGTATGTTATTATAATCTATCAAAATAAAGGAGTAAGAAAGTTACCAATTCTTTAAAAAACATCAAATGACCCAGTGCTCAGTCATTACAAATTAATTAAGTAGAGAAATAATTAGAATAACAGAAATTAAAAAATGTATTCTGTTTCAAAGGCATTTGAAAACAATAAAAATAATTAAAGTGACAAATTATCATAACGTTTATACGATTATTAGAAATTCACATGATTAGTCTTAAGAGCTGCCATTTTCATTTAATCTTGATATTTTAGGAGGATGTAGTGCCAGGGGAGATCACTGGTGACAGAATGGATTCTGGTGCTGGAGATACAGGGGAAACGACTGCAGTTCCAGAAGATAATTCTTCTCTCCCCTGCCCTGATAAAAATGTCTTGCCAGTTGTTGAAAGCTGTTCACCATCCACTGAATCACCTTTGTTTGACTTCAGTGCCAGCCTGCCTGCTAGAGAACCCACACAGAAAGAAGATTATATTTTATCTATAGATATTGGCACCAGTAGCATAAGAGGGCATATCTACACCAAATATGGCACGCTTAAAGGTTCCGCTAGCAAACAGGTGAGGCACTAGTAGAGGGCATATCTACACCAAATATGGCACACTTAAAGGTTCAGCTAGCAAAAGGGTGAGGCACTAGTAGAGGGCATATCTACACCAAATATGGCATGCTTAAAGGTTCAGCTAGCATACAGGTGAGGCACTAGTAGAGGGCATATCTACACCAAATATGGCACGCTTATAGGTTCAACTGGCTAACAGGTAAGGCACTAGTAGAGGGCATATCTACACCAAATATGGCACGCTTATAGGTTCAGCTGGCTAACAGGTAAGGCACTAGTAGAGGGCATATCTACACCAAATATGGCACACTTATAGCAAATAGATGAGGCACTAGTAGAGGGCATATCAACACCAAATATGGCACGCTTAAACTACCTAAGGAAAATAATGTAATATGTTGTTGTGAAATTTTAATATCTGATTTCATTCAGAGATTTTAAAATTAAAAAACATTTATTTTGATTAGTAATTTTCTTAAAACAGAAAAAAAAACAACAAAACAAAAAATATATTGGACTGTCACTGATCTGTTCCACTGATAGTTAGAGACTGATGTCTGTTTGACACCTAATGCCAGAGTTTAAAATAGATTTGTTCACAAGTCAAACTTTAAAATAGATTTGTTCACAAGCCAAAGTTTGAAATAGATTTGTTCACAAGCCAAAGTTTAAAATAGATTTGTTCACAAGTCAAAGTTTAAAATAGATTTGTTCACAAGCCAAAGTTTAAAATAGATTTGTTCACAAGCCAAAGTTTGAAATAGATTTGTTCACAAGCCAAAGTTTAAAATAGATTTGTTCACACGCTAAAGTTTAAATAGATTTATTCACAAGTCAAACTTTAAAATAGATTTGTTCACAAGTCAAACTTTAAAATAGATTTGTTCACACGCTAAAGTTTAAAATAGATTTGTTCACAAGTCAAACTTTAAAATAGATTTGTTCACAAGTCAAACTTTAAAATAGATTTGTTCACACGCTAAAGTTTAAAATCGATTTGTTCACAAGTCAAACTTTAAAATAGATTTGTTCACAAGTCAAACTTTAAAATAGATTTGTTCCCAATTCAAAGTTTAAAATAGATTTGTTCACAAGTGAAAGTTTAAAATAGATTTGTTCACAAGTGAAAGTTTAAAATAGATTTGTTCTCTTTATTTTTCTTTCTGAGAGTGTTGAAGAAAAGAATAAGTGGATACTGTCTTGAACCACTTGAAGCATTTTGAAGCATGGAAATTTAAAAAGTTGAACCCTGTATTTCCAGCAAACAATTCTCCATCCTGAACAAGGCCGCTATGAGATTGATCCTCTTGAGCTGGTAGAGAAAGTCAAAAGCGTGGCTCATGAATGTATTGCAGGCACGTGATGTAAATACTGTTGCCTGCATCGCAACTTTTAATTGACAATTTTGTAATGTTAGCTTAAAGTAACTTGTCTAAAATTAGACCTGACTGACCTGTATGGCTGACCTAACTGACCTGTATGGCTGACCTGTATGACTGACCTAACTGACCTGTATGGCTGACCTAACTGACCTGTATGGCTGACCTTAGTGACCTGTATGGCTGACCTAACTGACCTGTATGGCTGACCTAACTGACCTGTATGGCTGACCTAACTGACCTGTATGGCTGACCTAACTGACCTGTATGACTGACCTAACTGACCTGTATGGCTGACCTGTATGGCTGACCTAACTGACCTGTATGGCTGACCTAACTGACCTGTATGGCTGACCTAACTGACCTGTATGGCTGACCTAACTGACCTGTATGGCTGACCTAAAACTTGACCTATCCTGTTCCAGCCTCAGGTCTTCAGCCCCAGCAGGTCACCTGTATGGGGATAACAACCATGAGAGCCACATTTGTTACCTGGGACAGGTAGGTCATTTTTACTCACTCATATTTACAAGGTCATTTTTACAGTCTACAGCTTGGGGTGGGGCAGTTAAACAGATTCTACCATCCACAAATTGATTCTACCATCCACAAATTGACTCTACCATCCACACATCAGTTAAATTGATTGTATCTTCTACATCTGTTAAATAGATTGTATCATCCATATACAACTTGATGCAATATTTTTATCAAATCACATCTAATGTTTTAGTTCAAGTTTAATTTTATCAAATTTATTACTAGCATTTGAAACAGTCTAAAAAATTGCATTTATATGTGGACAAATGAGCTAAATAATTAAAACCTCCTGTCCCTTTAAAGAGAAACAGGCCAGCCATTCCACAACCTGATCACCTGGCAAGATCTGCGAGCCTCTGACTACGTCTCTGTCTGGAACAAGTCGTACACGCTGCGCACTCTCAACTTTGGTGCCAAGGTCCTGCACATGCTAATGAGGAAGAAGCGCCACCTGGCTGCAAGTGTTCTTAGATTCATGACCAAACAGGTGACCATGAGACTTCTGTGGGCGCTGGACAATATTCCAGAGGTAGGGGCATCACTGGTTATTTCTGTTGGGGGCATCACTGGTCATTTCTGTAGGGGGCATCACTGGTCATTTCTGTAGGGGACATCACTGGTCATTTCTGTAGGGGGCATCACTGGTCATTTCTGTAGGGGGCATCACTGGTCATTTCTGTAGGGGGCATCACTGGTCATTTCTGTAGGGGGCATCACTGGTCATTTCTGTAGGGGGCATCATTGGTCATTTCTGTTGGGGGCATGCTCACCTCTACTTGATCACATAAACTTGTATTTTTTTACCATGTTTTGTTTTCAATTTTGACCCTACCAACTTGTGTTTACCTATTGACCCCACCAACTTGTGTTGACCTATTGAACCCACCAACTTGTGTTGACCTATTGACCCCACCAAATTGTGTTGACTTATTGACCCCACCAACTTGTGTTGACCTATTGACCCCACCAACTTGTGTTGACCTATTGACCCCACCAACTTGTGTTGACCTATTGACCCCACCAACTTGTGTTGACCTATTGACCCCACCAACTTGTGTTGACCTATTGACCCCACCAACTTGTGTTTACCTATTGACCCCACCAACTTGTGTTGACCTATTGACCCCACCAACTTGTGTTGACCTATTGACCCCACCAAATTGTGTTGACTTATTGACCCCACCAACTTGTGTTGACCTATTGACCCCACCAACTTGTGTTGACCTATTGACCCCACCAACTTGTGTTGACCTATTGACCCCAGCAACTTGTGTTGACCTATCAGATCAGGAAGAAGGCAGGAGAAGGAAACGCCATGTTTGGCTGCATCGAGACGTGGGTGTTGTGGAAGTTGACTGGTGGCAAGTGTCATGTGACCGACTACTCGTGTGCCAGCTCCACTGGACTGTTTGACCCCTTTCAGGTGTGTCATACACATCAAATACAGCCTTGTACAACATCATAGTCATACACATCAAACACAGCCTCGTACAACATCATAGTCATACACATCAAATACATCCTCGTACAACATCATAGTCATTCACATCAAATACAGCCTTGTACAACATCATAGTCATACACATCAAATACAGCCTTGTACAGGCATGTAAACATCATAGTCATACACATCAAATACAGCCTGGTACAACATCATACACATCAAATACAGCCTCGTACAGGCATGAAAACATAGTCATACACATCAAATACAGCCTTGTACAACATCATAGTCATACACATCAAATACAGCCTTGTATGACATCATAGTCATACACATCAAATACATCCTCGTACAACATCATAGTCATACACATCAAATACAGCCTCGTACAACATCATAGTCATACACATCAAATACAGCCTTGTATGACATCATAGTCATACACATCAAATACATCCTCGTACAACATCATAGTCATACACATCAAATACAGCCTCGTATGACATCATAGTCATACACATCAAATACAGCCTCGTACAGGCATCACTCACGCATTAGGTCTATGCAAACATACAAGTATCATACAAACAAAAATACAAACATCATACCATTTCTTCCTTGGGTATACAAGCATGATACATGTTGCTCTTATTTTGGGTAGCTATACAAAACTTTCCCCAATAAAAGACACACCTTTCAGCCATGCAGTCTTCAGTCTGACACTAACCTGGAGTAACCTGTTTCAGATGGAGTGGAGTGGTATTGTGTGTGGACTCCTCAACATTCCCATGAGTATCTTCCCTTTGATACGGGACACCAGGTCAGTAGCCTGAGAAACTAGGTCATGGAAATAGTGGGCCAGATAAACTGGGTTAGTAGGTCACGGAAACTAGGTCAGTGGGTCATTTGGGAAAGAAATGGTGGATTTGATTATTAGAAGACTTGATTAGAAAAAAATCCAGTTGATTGTAGTTTACATCTATATTTGTCGATTGTAGTTTACATCTATTTTTGTCAATTGATTGTAGTTTACATCTATGTTTGTCAATTGATTGTAGTTTACATCTATGTTTGTCAATTGATTGTAGTTTACGTCTGTTTGTCAATTGATTGTAGTTTACGTCTATGTTTGTCAATTGATTGTAGTTTACGTCTGTTTGTCAATTGATTGTAGTTTACATCTATTTTTGTCAATTGATTGTAGTTTACATCTATGTTTGTCAATTGATTGTAGTTTACGTCTGTGTTTGTCAATTGATTGTAGTTTACATCTATTTTTGTCAATTGATTGTAGTTTACATCTATGTTAGTCAATTGATTGTAGTTTACGTCTGTGTTTGTCAATTGATTGTAGTTTACATCTATTTTTGTCAATTGATTGTAGTTTACATCTATTTTTGTCAATTGATTGTAGTTTACATCTATTTTTGTCAATTGATTGTAGTTTACGTCTGTGTTTGTCAATTGATTGTAGTTTACATCTATTTTTGTCAATTGATTGTAGTTTACATCTGTGTTTGTCAATTGATTGTAGTTTACATCTATTTTTGTCAATTGATTGTAGTTTACATCTATGTTTGTCAATTGATTGTAGTTTACGTCTGTGTTTGTCAATTGATTGTAGTTTACATCTATTTTTGTCAATTGATTGTAGTTTACATCTATTTTTGTAAATTGATTGTAGTTTACATCTATGTTTGTCAATTGATGGTAGTTTACGTCTGTGTTTGTCAATTGATTGTAGTTTACATCTATTTTTGTCAATTGATTGTAGTTTACAACTATTTTTGTCAATTGATTGTAGTTTACATCTATTTTTGTCAATTGATTGTAGTTTACGTCTATGTTTGTCAATTGATTGTAGTTTACGTCTATGTTTGTCAATTGATTGTAGTTTACGTATATGTTAGTCAATTGATTGTAGTTTACATCTATGTTTGTCAATTGATTGTAGTTTACATATATGTTTGTCAATTGATTGTAGATTACGTCTATGTTTGTCAATTGATTGTAGTTTACATCTATGTTTGTCAATTGATTGTAGTTTACATATATGTTTGTCAATTGATTGTAGATTACGTCTATGTTTGTCAATTGATTGTAGTTTACGTCTATGTTTGTCAATTGATTGTAGTTTACGTATATGTTAGTCAATTGATTGTAGTTTACGTCTATGTTTGTCAATTGATTGTAGTTTACGTATATGTTAGTCAATTGATTGCAGTTTACATCTATGTTTGTCAATTGATTGTAGTTTACGTTTATGTTTGTCAATTGATTGTAGTTTACGTCTATGTTAGTCAATTGATTGTAGTTTACGTATATGTTAGTCAATTGATTGTAGTTTACATCTATGTTTGTCAATTGATTGTAGTTTACATATATGTTTGTCAATTGATTGTAGATTACGTCTATGTTTGTCAATTGATTGTAGTTTACGTCTATGTTTGTCAATTGATTGTAGTTTACGTATATGTTAGTCAATTGATTGTAGTTTACGTCTATGTTAGTCAATTGATTGTAGTTTACGTATATGTTAGTCAAATTGATTGTAGTTTATGTATGTCTACAGCGGGGAGTTTGGTGTGACAGATCCAGATGTGTTTGGGTTTCAAGTGCCAATAACAGCTGTTGTAAGTATCTGTTACCTGGGTGATGGCTGGTATTGTTGACTTGTATGGCTGGGTGATTGTGTAGCTGGTTGATTGTGTGGCTGGTTGATTGTACAGTTGGTTGATTGTGTGGTTGGTTGATTGTATGGCTGGTTGATTGTGTGGTTGGTTGATTGTATGGTTAGTTGATTGTATGGTTGGTTGGTTGTATCATGTATGGTTGGTTGTGTGGTTGGTTGGTTGTGTGGTTGGTTGGTTGTGTGGTTGGTTGGTTGTGTGGTTGGTTGATTGTATGGCTCATTGGTTGTATGGTTAGTTGATTATTTAACTAGTTGATTGTTGTGTTACTTGGTTGTTTAATGTTTTCCAATTTGTTTGTTTGGGCATGTTGTATCTGCCCAATTGTCAGTGAGTGTACAGTGCCCACATGTCTGATGATTGTGTCCACCTGTCTGATGATTGTGTCCACCTGTCTGATGATTGTGTCCACCTGTCCAATGATTGTGTCTACCTGTCTGATGATCGTGTCCACCTGTCTGATGATTGTGTCTACCTGTCCAATGATTGTGTCTGATGATTGTATCCACCTATCTGATGATTGTGTCCACCTGTCTGATGATTGTGCCCACCTGTCTGATGATTGTGTCCACCTGCCTGATGATTGTGTCCATCCTACAGGTGGCTGACCAGCAGGGGGCCATGTTTGGTCAGTGTTGTTTTGATGTGGGTGATGTCAAGTGCACCATGGGCACTGGGACGTTCTTAGATCTAAACACAGGGAGCAAGCCTCACGCATCTGTTGGAGGTAGGTTGTAGGACCTGTTGCAGGTAGGTTGTATTGCAGGTAGGTTGTAAGACCTGTTGCAGGTAGGTTGTAGGATATGTTGCAGGTAGGTTGTAGGACCTGTTGCAGGTAGGTTGTAGGACCTGTTACAGGTAGGTTGTAGGACCTGTTGGATGTAGGTTGTAGGACCTGTTGCAGGTAGGTTGTAGGACCTGTTACAGGTAGGTTGTAGGACCTGTTGCAGGTAGGTTGTAGGACCTGTTGCAGGTAGGTTGTAGGACCTGTTGCAGGTAGGTTTGTAGGATCTGTTGGATGTAGGTTGTAGGACCTGTTGTAGGTAGGTTGTAGGACCTGTTGCAGGTAGGTTGTAGGTTCTGTTGCTAGTAGGTTGTAGGACCTGTTGCAGGTAGGTTGTAGGACCTGTTGCTAGTAGGTTGTAGGACCTGTTGTAGGTAGGTTTGTAGGATCTGTTGGATGTAGGTTGTAGGACCAGTTGTAGGTAGGTTGTAGGACCTGTTGTAGGTAGGTTGTAGGACCTGTTGGAGGTAGGTTGTAGGACCTGTTGGAGGTAGGTTGTAGGACCTGTTGGAGGTAGGTTGTAGGATCTGTTGCTAGTAGGTTGTAGGACCTGTTGCAGGTAGGTTGTAGGACCTGTTGCAGGTAGGTTTGTAGGATCTGTTGGATGTAGGTTGTAGGACCTGTTGTAGGTAGGTTGTAGGATCTGTTGCTAGTAGGTTGTAGGACCTGTTGCTAGTAGGTTGTAGGACCTGTTGGAGGTAGGTTGTAGGACCTGTTGCAGGTAGGTTTGTAGGATCTGTTGGATGTAGGTTGTAGGACCTGTTGTAGGTAGGTTGTAGGACCTGTTGGAGGTAGATTGTAGGACCTGTTGCAGGTAGGTTTGTAGGATCTGTTGGATGTAGGTTGTAGGACCTGTTGTAGGTAGATTGTAGGATCTGTTGGATGTAGGTTGTAGGACCTGTTGCTAGTAGGTTGTAAGACCTGTTGGAGGTAGGTTGTAGGACCTGTTGTAGGTAGGTTGTAGGACCTGTTGGAGGTAGGTTGTAGGACCTGTTGCAGGTAGGTTGTAGGATCTGTTGCTAGTAGGTTGTAGGACCTGTTGTAGGTAGGTTGTAGGACCTGTTGTAGGTAGGTTGTAGGACCTTTTGGAGGTAGGTTGTAGGACCTGTTGCAGGTAGGTTGTAGGACCTGTTGCAGGTAGGTTGTAGGACCTGTTGCAGGTAGGTTGTAGGATATTTTGCAGGTAGGTTGTAGGACCTGTTGCAGGTAGGTTGTAGGACCTGTTGTAGGTAGGTTGTAGGACCTGTTGCAGGTAGGTTGTAGGATATTTTGCAGGTAGGTTGTAAGACCTGTTGGAGGTAGGTTGTAGGACCTGTTGTAGGTAGGTTGTAGGACCTGTTGGAGGTAGGTTGTAGGACCTGTTGCAGGTAGGTTGTAGGATCTGTTGCTAGTAGGTTGTAGGACCTGTTGTAGGTAGGTTGTAGGACCTGTTGTAGGTAGGTTGTAGGACCTGTTGGAGGTAGGTTGTAGGACCTGTTGCAGGTAGGTTGTAGGACCTGTTGCAGGTAGGTTGTAGGACCTGTTGCAGGTAGGTTGTAGGATATTTTGCAGGTAGGTTGTAGGACCTGTTGCAGGTAGGTTGTAGGACCTGTTGTAGGTAGGTTGTAGGACCTGTTGCAGGTAGGTTGTAGGATATTTTGCAGGTAGGTTGTAGGACCTGTTGCAGGTAGGTTGTAGGACCTGTTGCAGGTAGGTTGTAGGATATTTTGCAGGTAGGTTGTAGGACCTGTTGCAGGTAGGTTGTAGGACCTGTTGCAGGTAGGTTGTAGGATATTTTGCAGGTAGGTTGTAGGACCTGTTGTAGGTAGGTTGTAGGACCTGTTGCAGGTAGGTTGTAGGATATTTTGCAGGTAGGTTGTAGGACCTGTTGCAGGTAGGTTGTAGGACCTGTTGCAGGTAGGTTGTAGGATATTTTGCAGGTAGGTTGTAGGACCTGTTGCAGGTAGGTTGTAGGATATTTTGCAGGTAGGTTGTAGGGTCTGTTGCAGGTAGGTTGTAGGACCTGTTGCAGGTAGGTTGTAGGATATTTTGCAGGTAGGTTGTAGGGTCTGTTGCAGGTAGGTTGTAGGTTGTTATACCCCCTAGTTGCATGTGAATATTTTCTTTACCCAGGGTTATACCCCCTAGTTGGATGGAAGATTGGCTCCGAGCTCGTGTTTATCGCTGAAGGTCAGTGTGCTGACACAGGGAACATTCTGGACTGGGCCAAGTCTATTGACCTTCTGAGTGATACATCACAGAGTTCACAGATAGCTCAATCTGTACCAGGTAGATAATTACTTCATTAGCTCTTCTAATTAGCAGCCTAACCTAGCTGTCTCTATCAGTTAAAGTTGTAAAGTACCCTGTTTACCTGTTGTAGATTCAGGTGGAGTTGTAAAGTGCCACGTTTACCTGTTGTAGATTCAGGTGGAGTTGTAAAGTGCCATGTTTACCTGTTGTAGATTCAGGTGGAGTTGTAAAGTGCCACGTTTACCTGTTGTAGATTCAGGTGGAGTTGTAAAGTGCCACGTTTACCTGTTGTAGATTCAGGTGGAGTTGTAAAGTGCCATGTTTACCTGTTGTAGATTCAGGTGGAGTTGTAAAGTGCCACGTTTACCTGTTGTAGATTCAGGTGGAGTTGTAAAGTGCCATGTTTACCTGTTGTAGATTCAGGTGGAGTTGTGTTTGTGCCAGCCTTCAGTGGACTTCAGGCGCCATTCAACGATGACAAGGCCGTGACCTCAATGGTTGGCCTGCGGCCCAGCACGACCAAGGCCCAGATCGTCCGGGCCATGTTAGAGTCGTTGGCCTTCAGGTTCAAGGCCTTGTATGAGATGGCCCTCACGGAGACCAGGATACCCCTCTCTCATGTCAGGTGAGATAAAGTACCTCACAGATGTCAGGTGAGATAAAGTACCTCACAGATGTCAGGTGAGATAAAGTACCTCACAGATGTCAGGTGAGATAAAGTACCTCACAGAGACTCCCCTCTCCCATGTCAGTTTAGATAAACCACACCTGCACTTTAAAACACTGAGGTAACTTGACTGATAGATGACATGAGTACCCATCAAAATTGGGGGGGGGGGGGGTTATCAGCCCTTTTTGGGGTAACCACTAACACAGGTTTATTTGTCCATAGAGTGGACGGTGGGGTGGCCAACAATGACTTGTTTGTTTGTCCGTAGAGTGGACGGTGGGGTGGCCAACAATGACTTGTTTGTTTGTCCGTAGAGTGGACGGTGGGGTGGCCAACAATGACTTGTTTGTTTGTCCATAGAGTGGACGGTGGGGTGGCCAACAATGACTTGTTTGTTTGTCCGTAGAGTGGACGGTGGGGTGGCCACCAATGACTTGTTTGTTTGTTTGTCCGTAGAGTGGACGGTGGGGTGGCCAACAATGACTTCCTGGTTCAACTGATGGCCGACCTGGTGGACCAGACCATTGACCGCAGTCGTCACGGTGAGATGACCTGTCTAGGCGCAGCTTTCCTGGCAGGTTTGGCTAAAGGTCAGAGTTCATTGTGTTGTAAAGGGGTCAAGGGTCTACCAGCCTTAAAGTTAAAGTTCACTGCTCAGCATAGAGGTCACACAACTGTAGGCTGCATCAACAAAAGAATTCAAGTCCATGTTGACTAAATCACCACACACCTTTCAACTCACTAATTAACATACTAAATCACCACACACCTTTCAACTTACTAATTAACATACTAAATCACCACACACCTTTCAACTCACTAATTAACATACTAAATCACCACACACCTTTCAACTTACTAATTAACATACTAAATCACCACACACCTTTCAACTTACTAATTAACATACTAAATCACCATACACCTTTCAACTTACTAATTAACATACTAAATCACCACACACCTTTCAACTCACTAATTAACATACTAAATCACCACACACCTTTCAACTTACTAATTAACATACTAAATCACCATACACCTTTCAACTTACTAATTAACATACTAAATCACCACACACCTTTCAACTTACTAATTAACATACTAAATCACCATACACCTTTCAACTTACTAATTAACATACTAAATCACCATACACCTTTCAACTTACTAATTAACATACTAAATCACCATACACCTTTCAACTTACTAATTAACATACTAAATCACCATACACCTTTCAACTTACTAATTAACATACTAAATCACCATACACCTTTCAACTTACTAATTAACATACTAAATCACCATACACCTTTCAACTTACTAATTAACATACTAAATCACCATACACCTTTCAACTTACTAATTAACATACTAAATCACCATACACCTTTCAACTTACTAATTAACATACTAAATCACCATACACCTTTCAACTTACTAATTAACATACTAAATCACCATACACCTTTCAACTTACTAATTAACATACTAAATCACCATACACCTTTCAACTTACTAATTAACATACTAAATCACCATACACCTTTCAACTCACTAATTAACATACTAAATCACCACACACCTTTCAACTTACTAATTAACATACTAAATCACCACACACCTTTCAACTCACTAATTAACATACTAAATCACCACACACCTTTCAACTTACTAATTAACATACTAAATCACCACACACCTTTCAACTTACTAATTAACATACTAAATCACCACACACCTTTCAACTTACTAATTAACATACATCACCACACACCTTTCAACTCACTAATTAACATACTAAATCACCACACACCTTTCAACTCACTAATTAACATACTAAATCACCACACACCTTTCAACTTACTAATTAACATACTAAATCACCATACACCTTTCAACTTACTAATTAACATACTAAATCACCATACACCTTTCAACTTACTAATTAACATACTAAATCACCATACACCTTTCAACTTACTAATTAACATACTAAATCACCATACACCTTTCAACTCACTAATTAACATACTAAATCACCACACACCTTTCAACTTACTAATTAACATACTAAATCACCACACACCTTTCAACTTACTAATTAACATACTAAATCACCACACACCTTTCAACTTACTAATTAACATACTAAATCACCACACACCTTTCAACTTACTAATTAACATACTAAATCACCACACACCTTTCAACTTACTAATTAACATACATTACCACACACCTTTCAACTCACTAATTAACATACTAAATCATCACACACCTTTCAACTCACTAATTAACATACTAAATCACCATACACCTTTCAACTCACTAATTAACATACTAAATCACCATACACCTTTCAACTCACTAATTAACATACTAAATCACCACACACCTTTCAACTCACTAATTAACATACTAAATCACCACACACCTTTCAACTCACTAATTAACATACTACATCACCTAACACCTTTCAACTCACTAATTAACATACTAAATCACCATACACCTTTCAACTTACTAATTAACATACTAAATCACCATACACCTTTCAACTCACTAATTAACATACTAAATCACCATACACCTTTCAACTTACTAATTAACATACTAAATCACCACATACTTTTCAACTCACTAATTAACTTATTAAATTACCATATACTTTTCAACTCACTAATTAACATACTAAATCACCTAACACCTTTCAACTCACTAATTAACATACTAAATCACCATACACCTTTCAACTTACTAATTAACATACTAAATCACCATACACCTTTCAACTCACTAATTAACATACTAAATCACCATACACCTTTCAACTTACTAATTAACATACTAAATCACCATACACCTTTCAACTCACTAATTAACATACTAAATCACCATACACCTTTCAACTTACTAATTAACATACTAAATCACCACATACTTTTCAACTCACTAATTAACTTATTAAATTACCATATACTTTTCAACTCACCAATTAACATACTAAATCACCACATACCTTTCAACTAAGTAATTAACATACTAAATCACCACATACCTTTCAACTTACTAATTAACACACTAAATCACCCCCTACCTTTCAACTAACAAACTTAATGCACAAGGAACATCCCCCCCAAAAAACCCCAGGTAAAAATGTCAATATTTGCCCTACAGGTGTATGGAGCAGCAAGGAGGAGCTGTACGCCCTACGACACAGTGACAGACAGTTCAAGCCCCAAAGGAACTGGCAACACCTGAAAGTCTTGTACCACATGTGGGACAACGCCGTACACCGTTCAAGGAACTGGTACCCCTGACAGAACCCCCCACCCACAGAATTGGTACCCCTGACAGAACCCCACCCATAGAACTGATACCCCTGACAGAACCCCCCACCACCCACAGAACTGGTACCCCTGACAGAACCCCACCGCCCACAGAACTGGTAGACAGACCCCCCCCCCAACCCACAGAACTTGTACCCCTGACAGACACACCCCCTCCCACCCATATAACTGGTAAACATAACACCCCCCAACGCCCTCATTGATCTGAGATGCTATAAAAACAATATGCATGTTGAGTTACTTCCCTTAATGGGCAACTCATTTAGAAAGGGAAGTAAGCATATTATAATAAATGATTGTTTAGAGAACTGTGCCATACAAGGTCTACTGTCTCACCAGCAACAAGTTGTGTTTCCCACAGCCAGAGAAAGTGTGATCTGTTGCCAACCATGTTGATAGAATCAAAACTTTCAACAAGATGCTTCAATTTTTTTACAGCTTTAATTAATTACATCTTTAGCAGGAACTTACTCATTAACTAAGTAGTGTTGTTTTGTAATGAACAATTGACTGGTATAATTATCTGAGAGAAAATTGTTAGGACAGTTGTTGCTCAATGTTTGGTTGTCTTTTGACTTCAGTAACATCACTGTTTATGTTGCTACACCTCACACTAGAAGTGTTACAATGGTAGTGCTACTTTGAAGTAGATACTAAGATTTTATTGATGTTGAAAATATTTTTTTAATATGAGTTATGAGGTGTGCTTAGGTAGGTTGGGACCTTCACACCCATGTGATAGGTTGGGACCTTTTGACTTAAGAAGTGTCTGACTTAAATGGGTGACTTAAGAAGTGTCTGACTTAAATGGATGATTTAAGAAGTGTCTGACTTAAATGGATGACTTAAGAAGTGTCTGACTTAAATGGGTGACTTAAGAAGTGTCTGACTTAAATGGATGACTTAAGAAGTGTCTGACTTAAATGGATGACTTAAGAAGTGTCTGACTTAAATGGATGACTTAAGAAGTGTCTGACTTAAATGGGTGACTTAAGAAGTGTCTGACTTAAATGGATGATTTAAGAAGTGTCTGACTTAAATGGATGACTTAAGAAGTGTCTGACTTAAATGGGTGACTTAAGAAGTGTCTGACTTAAATGGGTGACTTAAGAAGTGTCTGACTTAAATGGATGACTTAAGAAGTGTCTGACTTAAATGGACGACTTGTGAAGCATGTGACTTAAAATTGACTTGTGACTTAATGTTAACTTGTGACTTAATGTTAACTTGTGACTTAATGTTGTTGATTGAATCCTTGGTGAGATATGGCCAGTTGTCTACAGATAAAAATTTTTGTCTGCTTGTTGGGCATTGATTGAACTGGAACCTGACTCGGTGCTAGAGATTTGTTTCTTGTTCTTGGTTTAGGAATATTTTTACAAGATTGTTAAATGGTATCAGATATTGAATGACTGAACGCTGTCTTATGTATCTTACTTTTAATGTCTCTCCAAGCCTTACGCCAGTATTGGATATTTTAAATTCTATTTTTATCTATTTTTATCTATCATCACAGAACTAATAAAAAGAATTATTTTAAGTTTGTTTTCGAGTTTTTGTATAATGGTAAATTGGTTGCATCCGGAAGTAATTAATTTGTGGATTTGAAAACTCTAATTAATCAGCTCGTCATCAAAAAAATCCTGCAAGATAACACACAAACAATAGGGATTGTAAGTAGGTCTTAACTCTAAATGTGAATATTTAAATTTTATCTGTTAAATAAATATAAAAGTTACTTCATCCATTGTTCATTTATTTAAAATCCTAAAACAATTGTGATAGACTATAGCTATATTAATTGTGATTTTAAAAAAAGAAAAAATGTGGATGGTTTGTTTTTATTTATTCGAACCTGTAACAAGGTGTCACAAACGTAGTTACAATATTACCAGTTATATATTATAAGCCTCGACCCACCAGTACCTAATTTAATTATGTTATAACTTTTATATTAAAAAAACAACAGCAAATACATTACTTACCAGCCTTAAGAGCCAACAATTTTTTATACTTGGTTTATTTTTTTGGAAATTCTTGGTGATTTTAAAAATCTTGAAGTAGGCCTAGAAACAAAAAGCCGCCATATTTATTTATCATGTTCACAATTAATTTGGTTAGAAAATTTGTTTCTCATTTTATTAATGAGATTTTGAATTTTATGCAAGAGCCATAAAAATAGACTGTATTGTGGTCAAAGGGAAACAACTGGTATAAAGTTTTAACTTTGTCATGTTTTATCTGTTACTTCCCTTTGACCAACAATCGAGTGTTTTTTTTTTTAGAAAGGTAAAGTAGATTACTAAACATATTGTCTTTAAGATTTTATCCCCAGTTGCGTTTAACTCACCGCAGCTACCGTTTGTGTTGATCTAGTTTTTTTAAAAGCAGCCTTACTCTCTATCTTTATCCTTGTTAGATAAAGATTACTTTTCTAGTGTTTTATGGATTAGCCCTATGCCCAGAAAATAATTCATTAACGACGACTGAACTACAAGCTGCAGCAATAAAACCACAAGTTACAGCCATAAAACCAATACTAATATTTCTATTGTCGTATAAAAATTATTTTTTAAAAACTTTTCAGTTTTTTAAATAAAAGCAGATGTATTCCAGACTTTTGCAGTGAGTTTAGACTGTTGTCTGGATGTCACTCAGACTTCTGGCTGTCATTTATATATATATATATATATATATATATATATATATATATATATATATATATATATATATATATATATATATATATATATATATATATATATATAGGCCTATATATGTATGTGTGTGTGTGCTAGATCTGTTTCCACCTAGCTGTGACGTCATTGGTGCCGCCCCTACCCCGAGACTTTACTAATTGGTCTCGTCATTATCTAGTGCTAATTAAAATATTCTTTAACTTCCTTTAGATAATTCAAACCGTAAAAGGAAGACAATCTAAAGAAGGGAAGCAACTTTACCGAAGGGAAGTAACTCTACAAAAGGGAAGTAATTCTATGGAAGGGACTTTACTTTTTCGCTTTTCCCCTCAAACTTGAGGTCCGCATTAGATCGTAATTAAGCAATTAATAAATCAATGCTTGCATTCACGTGAGTAGAAGCACTCCCCCTTGTTGAGTGTTTGCCGTGCTCACCATTTGAAATGATTTGAAGCAGGAGACTGTCGTATTTAGACTTTTCACCCACTTGAGAACTTCGTATCTGGGGGCGGCACCGTCCATTTTGTAGGCCAGGAATATCTTAGTCACCATTAGAAAACTCGAGAGCTTTCAAACAGCACCGCCATTTTAGATTGAGTTGCAGGAATCGTTCTGAAGTCGATAAAAAATTAACACTTCTGATTTTAAAATAATACTTTTAAGCGAGTTGAATTTTTTTTTTAATTTGGCACAAAATAAAAATAAAAATCTGGCAACTTAATGGGACGCCACTGGTAAATACCGATATTGCACCCATTAGAAAACTGTTTGCTTTTGGTTTTTTTATTTGTTAGATGAGGGTGGGGTAAGGGCAGGGTGGGGGTGAGGCAGGGTTAGATGAGGGTGGGGGTGAGGGTGGTGTGAGATGAGGGTGGGGTGGGACAGGGTGAGATGAGGGTGGGGTGAAATGTAGAAGTGTGGGGTGGAGGTGGAGATGGGGCCTCTACTGTGACAAGCAATCGACCTCACCGATGACTCTCACCCCTTCCCCCCAAATACCCCCCCCCCACCCCACAATCCCCCCCCCCCACCCCCAAACACACCAGGTCACCAGCAGCCGGTGTCATGTCGACTTTAAGATTGTAGGGAAATGTCACATGAAAAAGTCACAGGAAAAAAGTCACAGGAAAAAGTCACAGGAAAAAAAGTCACAGGAAAAAAGTCATATGAAAAAAGTCACAGAAAAAAAGTCACATGAAAAAGTCATAGTAAAAAAGTCACATGAAAAAGGTCATACGAAGAGAGTCACAATTTTTTTTTTTACATAGAAATGGTTAACATATTGATACATGTTTTCAGAAAGTGCAAATCAAACTAAGATTAATGAAATATAATGTAAACATTTAAGATTTATTCACGGAGGTTGTATTTGTATGGTAACATATGTAAAACTGTTTGGTTTGAAGTAGGTCGGTTTTAATTCTTGCATAGAATAGAATTAAGTAGAAAATTCCAACCTTCTCCGTTTTCATCGTGTTTATAAAATAAAAACTTTGAATCAGCTTGAAATGGGAAGAAGACATAGTTAATGTAGACGGACAATGCCGACAATAAATAACAAAACAAACAAAACACAACCATATGCCGCTGTTCCTACTTTTCTTTTATAAAATATTTTTTTTTCTAGCGGGTTTTCAAATAAATGTGTAACATAATTTGAGGCTGCCGTGTACATGTTTTTACGTTTTATAAATTTGATTCCACTTCACATTGATATGAATGCTCAATGTTTTGAAGACAAACTTATTTTAACTAATTATAAATTTTATTCCACTTCACATTGATATGAATGCTCTGTGTTTTGAAGACAAAAATATTTTAACTAATTATAAACTTTATTCCACTTCACATTGATATGAATGCTCAATGTTTTGAAGACACCAAAAATGAGATCTTGACCTATTACAAATCTCCGGCAAGTCTCGCCCTGTCAAATCTAGCGCGCTGATAGAACTAGCATCAGCCCGTCGTTCTCACAGCCTCTGGCCCGGGGGTGTGGACGGAGCCATTTCACCCCTCACGGTCCGTGCGACAGGCACCATGTGTAAACACGCAGTTTCCCGCTAGCCCGGGGCTACCATGTAGCCACACAATGTAGCCTCGATATGAGATTCATTGTCGTCTTTTTGTCCTGTACAAGATTTCATCAGTCCATGTGGAGTGCAGTTAGTGGTCTAGCGATAGAGCCTTCAACTCACGCCACGATCGGCTTGATGTCTGCAGCCAACTTGCACAGCTGTAGCTGGACTTGGTGGATTCTACAGCTGTAGCTGGTGGGCTCTACGGCTGTAG